TTGTCAGCATATCACAATGATATTGAATCACAGCGCTTCATTGTTCTGGGGATAAGTAAGTAAATTTTGGTATTTTCTGAGCCTATATAAAAGTACATTGAAGAATGAAAATATCCCTAAGACATCTGCATTTGCCAAAGAAAAACAAAATCTAAGTATTGCACGAGCATAGTTGCAGTCAGACATTATTCGTCTGTAAACATAACTCGTCACCGGGTTTTGCATGCAAATAGCTGCAATTACATACGGTTATACAGGCATTGCATGACGTATTCTTTATATTGAACTGAACATTAAAAAATGAATGAACTATCCTTGGAAGAAACAGAATGAAGTCGGTTTCGTTTAATTTCAAAGACTACTTTAATGTGGCACTAACTGTGCATACCCTGATCGTTGTGTTTATCATTTGTGTAATTTACATACATGTTTCAGCTATTGCGATTGTTAACGGACGTTCTGTAGTCTACTCGGTGGATATGCAAAATCATACTTCCATCATCCTTCAAATGTCTTAAGTAGTTACGTCGTGTCTCTCCATAGGAACTTCTACGACCAACGTGCATACACATAGTTTCGCATGACTATGTACACATGTGAGCGTCCATATAGGAGGTGAAGTCATCGCCCTGAATTTAGCTCATGCCATGTAGCCAGTGGGAAAGGAGTGCATCACATGAACTATTTATAAAGATGTAGCCAGTGGGGAAAGGGTGTATACAAATCTGCATCACATGAACTATTTATAAAGATAAGAGTAGGGTGATTCAACACGACAAACATCGCAAACCGGAGATGCAAGGACAAATCTTTCTCTGTCGGTGTATACAAATCTGAATACAGCGTGCAGCAAAGCGTACGGTGCCAGGTCAGTGGTTGTTCTGTGCATTGTGCTGTGGTGAAGTAGGAGGTATGCATTGGTCCTACATATGTATAGTGTATACCTATGGCAGGCACATCATATTGCTGTGGTGAAGTAGGAGGTATGCATTGGTCCTACATATGTATAGTGTATACCTATGGCAGGCACATCATATTGCTGTGGTGAAGTAGGAGGTATGCATTGGTCCTACATATGTATAGTGTATACCTATGGCAGGCACATCATATTGCTGTGGTGAAGTAGGAGGTATGCATTGGTCCTACATATAGTGTATACCTATGGCAGGCACATCATATTGCTATACCCTATGGTGTATACCTATGGCAGGCACATCATATTGCTGTGGTGAAGTAGGAGGTATGCATTGGTCCTACATATGTATAGTGTATACCTATGGCAGGCACATCATATTGCTGTGGTGAAGTAGGAGGTATGCATTGGTCCTACATATGTATAGTGTATACCTATGGCAGGCACATCATATTGTATTGGAACTCTTGCCCTCCATTCCTAATTTAAGTCTGCACTCTTTGTATCGGCAAGACGCTTGTTATGTTTGTGTAGCAGGGTGGTGAAAGCTCTAACTGAGTTCAGTCGTGAATACCTCTGATTCCCCCAGCTTCACCTAGGCTTCCCCTTTCTGTTTTAGCTACTTTCACCACTCAGTATAACTGTCTATAGTCCGTATGGCTCAAAAGCGGACCGATGAATTGCAATCTAACTCGAAAAAAATAAATAAACATAAAATACTCAATGAAACGCTGATCATAATCAAAACATCGTACCCACTCTGTGAGGTTTTTGCAGAATATTTGTCCAAAAATTAAAAAAGTTGTTTAACAAACTATCATTAAAATATTGACACAGTTCACTATTTGTTACGAGGGAGGAATGCAGAGAAAGGGGCAGCCAGGTGTTCGAGAACGGATGGAGACGGCACAGCACAGGTTAATGAATAAATAACTTTGTCCGTGAGCGTGCTTCTCAGACACCTGGCTGTCCCTTTCTCTGCACTCCTCCCTCGTGTCCAATATTCAAATAGTGAACTGTAAAATAACTTAATGACAAAATTCTAAAACTCTCACAGAAACATGACAAATTATGATCAACGTTCGAATGTTTATTGGTTTCCGAATGAATTGCAATTCATCGATCCCTTTTGATCAGCGCTGACTTCCTTTGACACCTGTCGTGCGAGAACGGGGCCCAGCTTACTTCCGGTACCAAATTTCCAGTGACAAACGCTCAGTCCGTATTCAATTGAATCCAGTTCTGGTTTAGCCTAATTGCGCGGCGCTACCGCCATATATGACTTTACTAGACGGGGCCCACCGCAAATTTCCAAGTGTATTCAACCATGCTTTGCGCGACCGCCATGTCACAGCTGTTGACAGTCGTAATGTTGCTCGTAATAGCTGGCTAATTTGGGGATGGTCTGATCGGGTACGGTTCCTTACTGTCAACTGATCGGAGAACCACGAGACCATTCGAAAAGGTATGAAACGTTGTTTGTCACCGGAAGTACTTAGGTCTCGCGAAGTGCCGTGACCTACTTACGGGCCCTATTGTGTCCGTTGTATGTATCATGTTGCTTTGTGTCTGTAGTTTACATACCATGGTATCTGTCCCCTACACTGAGCTGTGAGGTAAGCATATAATGATCATATTTTGTATGTCAGTACCATATACTTACGTTTTACGTAAGTATTTGCAGGATACCTATATTATACACTATTGTGTGTCTATAGTATAACACATAGAATTATTTTTGTATACTTCAAACATAGTTTTGCGTCGATTTCAAAGCTGAAACAACAAATGAACTCTGCGTGAAAACAACAAAATAACACTTAACAATTGTATTCTTAAAAGTAACTAGGTTTTCAAATAAATACAAATAGGATTACTCTTGTTTCTCAGTCTAGGAGCTGGTATACCATTAGCCTCTACTGAAGTTTCACGAAAACAATGATGTGCAGCTCAATTACAACACCATAAAATGAATAACACCAATAGCGATATGTAACAGACAAGGAATACTAGATGTAGAAAACAGGATCTATCCTACGTGACGAGTGAACGCATTAACTTCCACAGTGACCCACCGCGCCAGAAGGCCTACAGAATATTTGCTAACAAATTCGTTCAATTTGTTTCCAGAATCTAAGCAGCAATACATTTTTTTGGACATGGCGGAAAACAGCTATACGCAAGAAGAAAAAGGAAGCAATCGATCGTGTCTTGACCTTCAGTTTAGAGAGGGGCTTAGATAACGAAACTATTATCCAGAGATTCGACAAAATAAGTGAGGAATATAATGAGGTAATTCTCAAATACATACCACATACCACATACCCACATACGTTCTGCGGGGTTGTTTTGCAGATATTTGAGGTATTTAGGAACTTAAGGAAACAGTGCTATCATTCATTCATTTCATAATATTACGGTTTACATTTTACAATATGTACATTAGCATTAATCATGGGCCAGCAACTATTTGTAGTACGAAAACACTGCATGCAATTAACTAGAATTGAAATTTGTAAAAGTCTCCAAGCAGTCAGAGAGAAATACTCAAACACGTGAATATCAACGAAACCAGTCATCACAATGACGCTACCAATCGTGATTGTCACACTGTTCTCAAGTAATGGACCCGTGAAGATCCCGGCTTAGAATTGATCTTCAGTAATACATGCGTATTGTAAGAGGCGACTAACTGGATGGGATGGTCAGGCTTGCTGACTCGCAATTGAGTAGATCGATGCTCATGATGTTGATCCCTGGATTGTCTGGTCCAGAATCGATTATTTACAGTAAAACTAAACTCGCTCACTCACAAGTGATGATTGCTGGTCCTGATACTGGCAATGAAGAGTCGAATTATCTGCATCTGAATCCTCTACCATTCATCGTCCCGTGAAGGTCCGGGTTAGAATATTGATCTTCAGTAACCCATGCTTGTCGGAAGAGGTGACTAACGGGATCGGGTGATCAGGCTCGATGACATGGTTGTCACATGTCATTGGTTCCCAATTTCGTAGATCGATGATCATGCTGTTGATCACTGGATTGTCTGGTCCAGACTCGATTATTTACAGACCGCCGCCATAGATCTGGAATATTGCTGAGTGCGGCGTAAAACTAAACTCACTCACTCACTCTACCACGGAGAGTCTGCGTCAATTACTGCCTGTTTTGAAGAAGAGGATTGCTAGTTCCAACGTGGCATCCAAGATAGTCCCAAAGATGTTAGATGGGATTCATATCGGGGCTCATTCCGGGCCAGGGTGATGTTTCGATAATGTTGTTCTGTAAATGCGGGTTAGCCTCGACAAGTCTAGCGAGGTCTAGCGTTATCATCCGGGAATTTCGGAGACTGGCAAGAGGATGCTTATCAAAATGTGGCACGGCTGTGGCATCGAGTACTGCTGATAACGTTGACGAAGTGTCACAGGTACTGTAATGGGGGGGGGTTGGGGGGGGGTGGTCCAGCTTGCAGTCACACGACACACAGCCACACACAATCACTGATCCACCACAAAAGGGTCCAGGTGCATGAGTCATCTCCCGGCATTATGTCTTACGACGTCTCCAAACGCTGCAACGGTCTTCGGTAACGTAAAGACAATAGCGACTTCCATAACACATTTGCCATGTCCTCAAGTGCCTCCACCACGTCAGATGTTCCTGTCTGTGCCTATCTGTGAAGAAGGGACGTCTGATCATTCATTTGTTCACTCTCGTCTTTTAGATCAGATAAGAAAAAAGGAGTGCACATACTGCAATTATGAAATGTATATCCCAAGTATGCGACCCATAGATTTTTGAGATTTTGTGTCAAGCACGTGCTTTACATTCCACTGTGACATTCCACTATGCTAGGGTATGATCGCCCGTTTGGACCAAAACATTTAAAATTGACCTTCGATTCTGGTGGTGTTTAGTTCTTGCTCATCTGTATGTTACAATATGAAACAATGCTACGATTATTTGATATTGCATGAGCAATATTCTCATGGAAAGGCAGATATTTCAAATTGATGCAGTTTTCCGATGTTGTAGGAGTTGGAGGGGACCTCGTTATTTTACACGTCGTTATGATTTAAGGTGCAAGTTATTATCAACTGGACTGGCCCTGAATGGATGGCTGAGAGCGTGGCAGCCCAGTATCCTAGCAACCGAGGGGATATCAGGATCCTGGATGTCGCTGCCGGTACCGGGTTGGTATCTGTTGAGGTATGCTACATGTCACTGCGAGGGAACTAGAAATGAGCCTTGACACATTGTACCCATGTAGGGAATCAAATCTTCCATTGTGGAAAATCGGGTCTTCGGCGTAACGAGCGAACTCTTTAACCACTAGGCTACCATACTGCCACGCTACTTGACAGACCCACGAAGCATATCCAGTGGCTATACATGCATGTAGCATACCGTTACTACTTGTGATGTTATGTGGTGATCATCCATATATATCTAGCCTCATCACCTGGTGATGGTGTCAGTAGCCTTACTACAAGCGGGGTACAGGAAACCCTACGGCGAAGAGTTGAATATGTCTGTGATTCATTGTGAACATTTTGTTTGTGTGTTGAAGTTGAGGAAGCATGGCTTCGTGCACATCGATGGTTTAGAGCCGTCCGAGGGAATGCTTCTCGAGGCCAAGAGAAACAACTTGTATGAGCAATACATCTTGGACATGCTTGGGGAAAACACACTGGACATAGCTGACGGTGAGACTGATGGCAATGAGATATAACTGACGGTGACATAAAATTAATGATGAGGTATAGATGACGGTAAGATATAGCTGATAGTCAGATATACCTTATGGTGAGATGTAGCTGATGGTGAGACAGAGCTGACTGTGATATAGAACTAATGGTGAGATATAGATGACGGTAGGATACAGGTGACGGTTATGTGTAAAGATCGAGCTGACGGTGAGATATAGATGCTGTTGATGTGTAAAGATAATCTTGATAGTGAGATATAACTAACCGTTACTGGGAGAGATAGATGATGATGATGATGTATGTGTGTGTGTGTGTGTGTGTGTGTGTGTGTGTGTGTGTGTGTGTGTGTGTGTGTGTGTGTGTGTGTGTGTGTATTTGATGTTGAGATAAAGCAGCTGGTGAGATATAACTGATGCTGACGGTGAGATGCAGATATATCTTACTCCAGTTGATTTAAAATATGCTGATGTATTTTCACAGACACCTACACAGTTGTAACGATGTCAGGTTTGAGTCGGGAGGTGATGAAGAAGCTGCCAGTCAGGGCCCTGGAGGAGATGGCGAGAGTGACACAACCAGGTACAAAGAAAGTGGTTACAGACCATAGTCTCTCTATAGCAATGAGTGTCTTGTGTATGTGAAAAGTATGGTGAGGCCACATTAGGTAAACGTAGAAAGGGGAGCAATTAAGCCTGGATGACAGCTGTGTGTGATGTGTGGCTAGTTACTGTGTGATGTGCCTCAGTCTGTATGTGTTGTGCTGCTAGTTAGTGTGTGATGTGCCTCAGTCTGTATGTGTTGTGCTGCTAGTTAGTGTGTGATGTGCCTCAGTCTGTATGTGCTGTGTGGCTAGTCAGTGTGTGATGTGCCTCAGTCTGTATGTGCTGTGTGGCTAGTTAGTGTGTATGATGTGCCTCAGTCTGTATGTGCTGTGTGGCTAGTTAGTGTATGATGTGCCTCAGTCTGTATGTGTTGTGCCGCTAGTTAGTGTGTGATGTGCCATAGTCTGTATGTGTTGTGTGGCTAGTTAGTGTGTGATGTGCCTCAGTCTGTATGTGTTGTGTGGCTAGTTAGTGTGTGATGTGCCTCAGTCTGTATGTGCTGTGTGGCTAGTTAGTGTGTGATGTGCCTCAGTCTGTATGTGCTGTGTGGCTAGTCAGTGTGCGAGGTGCTCGATATGTGTATATGAGGTTGATGTGTATATGTGTGTTGTGTATGTATACGTTTATGGTTAGTTGTACGTGTATGTTTTCTTGTGTACTTGTGTGTGGACGTGTGTGGTGTGCGGTGTGTATGCATATGTATTTCGCTACTGTGTGAGGTAACGTACGACAAGATCCAGCTGCAGTGAAAACTGTTGAATGGGTGGTATTTGTGAGAATTGTATGATTGGAAAAAGAGTCAAATTGTCTAATTATTGATTACAACTCATTTCAACGTGTATGTTCCCAGGTGGGCGTGTTATGATGAACGCATATGACTACAATTTCCAAAGTGAAATATTTCGTGTGAATCTAGCCAGTCTGGAATGTCGCGGGATCTGGAAGCTGGAAAGCAAGGAGGCTCGGCAACACATTTCCAACGGTGTTGGTGGTATTCTTCATACCTACAGGGTCCTGTAACGACGACGACCAGAGAACATTAATCCGCATATTATACTATTGCACATAATTCCCCTTGACAAACGGCAAATGTTTCAAAGATGTCCCATATAACTGTGATATCACGATAAATAAACACACGACAAGGCTCCATGTAATTATTTGCAGCCTGAGTATCATTTGTACTAAGTACAATATCATATTTTGAAATACTAATAAATGACAAGAAATATTTCCATCGTAATTTAACTGTGGCTAAAAATTACGAAAGCCTAATGCTGCCACTTTTGTAGCATAAATATTATTTTTTCTGCTACAATTCTCGTTGCTGCGAATATTTACTAGTTACTTCAATAATTTTCTCGTTACTTCGAGTTCTTTTCTCGTTACTTCAAATTTCTATCAAAAACTTGAAATTTCAAGTATTTTCTCGTTACTTCAAGTTTCTGTCAAAAACTTGGAAATTTCGAATATAGACTCGTTGCTTCGAACATTTTCTCGTTATTTCAATTATTTTTTAGCTGCTTCGATTCATTTCTCGTTGCTTCGAATATTTTCTCGTTGCTTCAAGTTTCTCTCAAAAACTTGAAATTTCGAATATAGACTCGTTGCTTCGAACATTTTCTCGTTATTTCAATTATTTTTTCGCTGCTTCGATTAATTTCTCGTTGCTTCAAATATATTTCAAAAACTTGAAAGTTCAAATATTTTCTCGTTACTTCAAGTTTCTTTCCAAAACTTGAAATTTCAGGTATTTACTCGTTGCTTCGAGTATTTTCTCGTTACTTCAAGTTTCTGACAGAAAGTTGAAGGAACGAGATAAATACTCGAAACAACGAGAAGGGGGTGTCCTCAAACTCGAGCCGGGTCAAGGAGGGCCAAGTATATAATTGGCTACTACATTGATTATTGAAAACCACGTCTACAATTAATTAATCCAGCTTACACCCGTGACAATATTGGCAAGGAGCCACACACGTGTGTCATAATAACCTTATTACGAGTAAATCGCTTAAAACTTAGGAAGACGAGTGGCCTGTGAAAGTGACTGAGCAAGGTTACGTCTAAAAGAGAAGTCGTTAAACGAAACAGGATTCAAAACGTATATATACTTCAGTCAATTCTGTCGGCCCGGAAAGGTTTTTACAAGTTCTACCTTAGAAGTTCACTGTTCATCGTATTTAAAGCATGCCCACAGGTAAATGATACGATCTTTTCCCCACACTGTGACAATTGTTCGGTTCTGTTTGGCCCGGGCCGTCAAAAGCAGCATAGATCTCACACATGTTTCTTGAATTTTGTTTAGAGATCCATAGATTAGTATTATGTTTACCTAAATATCATTTTCAATGTTACACAATGCCACATGTATGGATAACTGGTCAGTTAAAGTGAAGCCCGTTTCCCTCTACATTACCAACATATCCAGCCTCTATCAAAAGTGTTAAGTCTCTGACTTATCCCGGGCCATCAAAAACAACTTAAACATCACACATGTGTCCTGAATTTTACATATATCTAGTTATATCTACCTAAAACATCTTTATGAAGTCTCAGATTGAAGTAACTTGAACGATCAATTTGCTCAAAGCGGGCCCTTAGCCTCATTCTCAACATGTCACAAGTCATCGGACCACAGTCATATGAATCCCTGTTCTCATATTTGTTAGGTCTGTAGCGTTCCATGGCAAATATCAAACTGATACCCATCTAATGTTACCATTTAAAAAGTATGCCAGAAACACAGGCGAACAACTTGCCTAATATGAGGTAGTATTGTTGTGTTGTTGTATTTTAACCCATTTAACGTACGAATCATAGTACTATGTATCATTCACACTCCGATATGTTTGTCAACATATACATGTAGTATGGATGCACCCATGCACTCAGTTTTCAAAAGTAAAGAAAGAAAAGAAATCGCCCACGCAAACGAACCACATGAAATAATAGCGACAAAGCCCGTTCCATACAAATTATGAGCATTCGTTTTTGGCGTTTGTTTTGTTGCTGTTGTGTTGTTGGGGGTTGGGGGGTGGGGGTGGTTTCAAGTTGTGGTTTTGTTTGTTGTTTAACGCCGCTTTCAGCAATATACCTGCCATATGACTGTAAATATCTACACGAAAACAAAGCCAACATGAAACTACTATCTGTTTGTGTGAAGTATAAACTATATCTACAAATGGTTAAATTTTATAATGCTTGTCTTGTCTAAAGTGCATTGATGACACATGCACCTTTTCCGATTTTTTGCAAATTTGTAAGAGCTGCGATCACGCATTGAAAAGTGAGATTATCGGGAGACCAAACAAATGGTCGTAAGACTGCGTTTCACCAGTAAAGTAAAGTCATTTAAGACATTTTAATGTTTGAGAGAATTTTGAATATTATGACACATGATGCGCAATGCTATCAATCTATTTTATTAACTTTTTTCGTACACGCTCACTCCCTGACAGGTACATTGATGGAAGGGTGGTACGGCTTCGTGACTGCTGACCGTCGTACCTCCATGCCACGTATCATTCATTTCGAAACAGATCATCAGATTGTCTGGTCCACATACAAATAGACCGAGGTATGCATCAGCAGGATGATAATCAAGTAATGCTGGGTGCGGTGTTAGGAAACAGAATTTGTTGGGGAACATTACCTTTTACATGCTTATCTGGTCGCATCACCAATGTTCAGTGGTCCGTTACAATACCTTCACTATTTCGTCTTCTGGTTGTAATGAAATCTGTTTCATCTGAAAGTTTTAGTTTTCCTTTAGCATTGACGTTTAGAACTTCCTTTCAAAAGCTCAGAAGTATACAGTTCAACAAGAAATTATTGAGAATTTAAGATTGTAAAATTATTTTAAATTTTCACTCATTACTCACGTATTAAATGTGAATATTAGCAGAACATAACTCCAGATTCAAAGACAGGTGAACAGTTAGCATTTTGTCAAGTCACCATGGGCAACAATGCAGGCTTCAATGTGGCGGGGCATACTACTGATCAAAGTAGTTAGAAAGTCGTGGTCCATGCTGTCCCAATATCGGACCACCTCTTCTTTCATTTCAGCAATATTTGTCAGATTTTTCTTATTGACACTTTCCTTCATAAGTCCCCAAACAATTTCTATTGAATTTAAGTCAGGGCTATAGCTTGGCCAATCTAATAATGTCATATTTTGGGTCCGAAACCAGGCCTGTGAATGCTTTGAACGATGTTTTGGGTCGTTGTCCTGCTGGAAAATCCAAACATTTCCATAGAACACGTGAGTAGATGGAAGTAAATGTCCCTCGAAAATCTCTTTGGAATGAAACCGAGCACTTGATAGCTGGTCAAAGTTGTTTATACTAGAAATCCAATTAAAAATAGTTCTTAAAATTCTCAATAATTTCTGGTCATACTATATATGCTCCGGCAATAGTACTGAGATAAGCATGTTTCTTCAAATTCTCCACTTCACTCTAAACGACAACACCCTTTCCACATCCGTAAGAATCTCTGCTAAAAGCAGTGTCAATTTACAATCCTGACTATATCATGAGTATGTGTTTGACGCCGCAGTCAGCAGTGTTACAGCTGTAGGACACGGTCTGTAAACTATCGAGTCTGGCCTAGACAATCCAGTGATTGACACAATGAGATACGACGACAGGGCATGTGTTTATGAATCACTATCAAATAACGATGATATCAAGCCTTCGCGAAAAGGTGAGCGCACCCGTCATAAACACAGGCAAAGGCGAGTCAACTGTTCACCTGAAACAATTAAACGTATGGTACAAGTCAAAATAGAGAATTGCATCGGACATTATTTGGTCACTGATACATCGAGGTTTGAAATGTCCTCCACATGCCAGCCATAAACCGTTTTGAAAGCTTTAGTGAGGCATTGGATGACTGAAATGTAGCGAAGACCCAGTTGGAATTCCCCATGAGACTAGTTTCGATAGTCAGTTTGTGTGGAGGATCACCTGCGACATTGCACATCGATACAAACCAATGCCAATCATCATTAACGTCGGTGAAAACTATTAGTAGACAAGGCCACAATTTATACAAATTGTTTTGATTTTGACATTAAAATACTAAAACAATTTAGACACATTTCACTGATGAATAATGACGGGACACAAAGAACAGATGTCCCTGTGCAACGTTTGGACAGATACGTAGCTGATACGTCACAGCAGCCTATCCTTATCCAACATACATAAGATAACATTGCAACATTACAGTTTACTGTAGTCATGCAGCTTATTGGATGATTAAGGAAGAGAGTTTTTATGGATGTCAACTTCTTTATCACGAGGAACACAACGTTTCGGGGTATATCCTTACTCCTTCATCAGGTGAGTGACAAAGGAGTAAGAATATACCCAGAAACGTTGTGTTCCTCCTAATACAGAAGTTGACATACATAAAACTCTCATCCTTATGTGTATCACTTCTAAATGCCATTGGGGTGGTGGGGTAGTCCAATGGTTAATGCGTTCGCTCGTCATACTGAAGACTCGGGATCGATTCCCCACATGGGTACAATGTGTGAAGCCCATTTCTGGTGTCTTCCGCCGTGATATTGCTGGAATATTGCTAAAAGCGGCGTAAAACCATACTCACATTACATGCATTCTCTAAATGCCATTCAAAGACCTACTGGAGGATTGTTTGACCACAATGACAACACACATTACATTATAGCGGACAGGCGTGGAGTTCACACATTGAGATATGCTTATCAATGTAAATTCCACAGCTGCTTCTTCACACGGATGACGTCGTATATATATAAGTTTACATTCAAGCTTTACGCATCGTAGCCAGTTTAAAGGATTGGAGTAAAATCTGGAGATGCTTCAGTTATTTATTTTAACCTTGTTCTTGGCAGGTAAGGTACTATTATTTAGGTTTTGTTGATACTGCATGTTGTTTCTTTCTTTCTGTATACCAATAACACCTCCCCAAAAATAGTTTCAATTTAATGTGGATGGGTGAATGTTATTTTGCGCCTCAAACAGCTGAAGGTAAACTAAACAGTTGTAACGAGTGGGCAACAGAGTAGGACATTGTAGGACGACACTTACTTAAATACCAACATGGGGACTCAAATCTTCTACACAGCAGTTTTAATAAAATGGGCATACATCCGCAAAGTATGCATGCAAACATCTTTCAGAAATACAACACAGAAATATGTCAAGTTGGAATGCAGCTTATGAGTTGATCTGTCCAAGGTTTACACATGTTTCATTCAAGGCATGATACAGGACACCAACGTGCGCACTGCAAATACTACTGTATTCACACCTGCGGACACGTATGGGAGACATGGAGGATGTCAGGTCTGATATAACACGTCTGTATTTTCATCTCGGTTTTACCTACCGGGAGATTACACATTTCTTGGCCAATTTCAAATTTTTTCCATTCTCTTTTTTTTGTTTTTCCTATCCCTATTCTACTCGTTCTCTTCTACATCTCTCCTTGTCAAACATTGGTTTCGGCCACACAAGCAGGTTAGTTTTTTTTACCATATCATTATATATGCCGATGTATATAAACAATGAATAATTTGAGATTGATATCTATGAATGTCAGGGGCATAAAAACGGATTCAGCCAAACGCAGAGATATCTTCAACTTTGTCCGTAGTACAAAAGTGTCAATTATATTCCTTCAAGAAACTCATAGCACCGTAGATGATGAACTAATGTGGGCGGCAGCATGGGGTTATAGGGGTCACTATTCACACGGTACAAGTAAATGCTCAAGAGTTATGGTTTCTAATAAATAATAACTTCGAGTATCATATGAATGAAATAATTGTAGATGATAATGGCCGTTTCATAATTCTTGACATTACTATTTTTCGCTTATAGATATTTATGGACCACGTATCGATTCGCCAGAATTTTTTGAAGATCTTGCTAATGAACTGAGTAAACTTTCAGGATCAATAGTTTGGGGTGGAGACTGGAACGTGGTGCAAGATTATTACAATGATACGTATAATTATAAACACAAAAATAACCAAAAGGCACATGACAAAATACTTGATATCAAAGAGCAATTAGAGTTGGTCGATCCTTGGAGAATACTTAATCCTGACACTAGGCAATACACATGGCGTCAACTCATTCTTTTAAAGCAGAGTGGACTTGACTACTTCTTAATTTCTGAGGATATTCTCTCTCTAGTAAAAACTGTATCTATAGGAATAAGTTACAAATCTGATCACTCATATATTACGCTCGATTTAGACCTTAAACCAATTGAAAGAGGCCGTGGATATTGGAAATTCAATTCTAACTTGCTGCATGATAAAGATTACGTAAAACTGGTAAAGGAAACTATACAAAATACTTTGAATGAAGTCAAAGCATTGGGAACTACTGATGATATTGCCAATATGACTTTCAAAATGAATGACCAGTTTGTATTTGAAATGTTAAAAATGAGAATAAGAAGTGAAACAATAGCATATACAATAAAACAAAAAAATGTCCTTTGACAAAGAAGAAAAAACACTTGAAAATGAGATTAATAAGCTAGAATCAAATTATGACATCCTTTCAAATGATACCTCAAATGAATTAAATAAAAATAAAGAAACATTGGAAACCATTCGAACAGAAAAAAATAGAAGGAATTGTATTTAGAAGTAAGGCAAAATGGTATGAAGATGGTGAAAATCTCTCCTGAATCTAGAGAAACGAAATTATATCAATAAGCATATGAAAGAAATAATTGCTACTAATGACAAGAGTGTAACTAGCATTGGTGATATAGTTGTTGAAACTTCAAAATATTACAAAAACTTATATAGTGGCCAGCACGATACCAACTGGGAATACTATGCTCGCCAGTTTACCAATATTGATGTCAAATTAAATCAGAATGAGAGAAACAGCTGTGAGGGTCCCATTACACTAAATGAATGTGCCTCTGTTTTAAAATCTATGAAAAATCGAAAGAGTCCAGGATCAGACGGTTTTCCAGCAGAATTCTACAAGTTTTTCTGGAAAGATATCAGAATTATTCTCCTTAGATCTATAACACATGCTTTCTATATTGGAACTTTGTCAAATTTTCAAGAATCAATCAAGAATGTTCTACCAAATATCATTAGCGAAACGCAAACGGGCTTTCTTAAGGACCGATTCATTGGGGAAAATACTAGAATATTATATGATATCATGAATTACTGTGAAATACAAAAAGAAAACAGGGCTTCTTATAACAGTAGATTTTGAAAAAGCCTTTGACACTGTAGAGTGGCAATTTTTAGATAAAGCACTGGAAGCATTCAATTTTGGACCTTCTCTGGATTAAATTGTTTCAAAATAATAGTAACAGTGCAATAATAAGCACAGGGCACATTTCAAATTATTTCAATCTTGAAAGAGGCTTTAGACAAGGCGATCCTATCTCCCCCTATCTATTCATCATTTGTGCAGAATTATTATCTATAGCTATTAAGAATAATACTTGGATAAAAGGTATAGATGTTACTGGTGTTGAATATCTAACCTTCCAATATGCTGATAATGCAAATTTCACCTTAGAAGAATCACAGGAGGGCCTCTCGGAACTTATTGGAACATTACAAGATTTTGCTAACGCGTCCGGTTTAAGATTAATTGTGACAAGACCAAGGCTATTTGGATTGGTTCAAAAAAGAATTCAAATGAAACCCTTTGTCCCCATTTGCCTTTTGCAATGGTCAAAAGAACGTTTTAAAATTTTAGGGATAAATTTTTCGACAGACTTGAAACTAATGGTTTCCTTTGTCCCCATTTGCCTTTTGCAATGGTCAAAAGAACGTTTTAAAATTTTAGGGATAAATTTTTCGACAGACTTGAAACTAATGGTTTCCTTGAATTTTAATAAACAAATTAATAAAGCAAGACAGATCTGTTTCTCCTGGTCAAAAAGATTGCTAACATTAAATGGCAAAATAACGATTATTTAATCACAAATAATCCCTTTATTTACACGTCTATTTTCAGCCCTTCCACTGCCGGATAAAACCTTCTTTAAATCGCTAAACTCAATCTTGTTTAAGTTTATTTGGAACGGAAAACGAGACAAAGTTAAAAGAAGAATGTTGACGAATGATCATTCAGAAGGAGGTCTTGGCATGGTTGATGTTGAAGCTTTTTGTAAATACTTGAAACTGAAGGTTGAGGTGCCGGGATCGAGCCCTCCTGTGACCGGGTGTAAAAACCTTGGAGTCAACTTTGTGTCCAGACTCTTTCCGTGTTGTCACAACCCCTAGTGTACAGTACACAACCCTGTGCACTTAAAAGACCCACGAATCCGTTGGTATATGACCAGATGGTGGCCACATGAATACGTGCAATTACCTAGTTGCGGGTACAGCAACGTGCAGTAAACTTGGACAAAGTACTGTGACTATGTGTCCCAGTCCACCCAGCTGTGAATGGGTACCCCGTTATGATGGGAAAGCCACAATAACTCGGTGCGCCTGGTGGCAGCAAGAGTTGTATACTCCCCCAGGGAGTTGAGATGGATAATAGGATAAGCCGTTGAGATTTACATCCAATGATCGAGGGGAAAAATAACAGCGCCTTGAGCATGCACTAGTGTGTGGATATGTGCGCTATATAAATACCGTATTAATACTACTAATAAAAATAATAAAAAGTGGATAAAACGCCTGACACAAAAAGATGGCTTATGGCAGCACTTGGCACGATGTTCGATAGTAAACTTAGAAAATATCGATATCCTGAATTTCCCAAAGCATCAATTAAAAAGCTAATTAAAGACATTAAGAACGATTTTTGGAAAGATATTTTAACTATTTATAACAAGTTGCAAATTTCAGAGATTAGGAATATTGACGAATTCAGAAATCTTCCCCTTCATGAGTTTTGTTCCTTATAAAGATTTTAAACTATACATCAAATGGTATCAGTGTGGAATTAGATATATTCGGGACCTAATGAGTGATTCAGGACATTTAAAAGAATTCAATGTATTTAAACACGACTTCAGACTAAAGGATATTTTCATTTCTTATTTCAGACTGATAAGTTTCATACCCAACACATGGATTAAATTATCAAAAGATAACCCGGTTAATAGAACAAATTTAAATATTAATTGTCAGATTCTCAGGGACATTATCTCTTCACTAGATTGTAGATTTATCTATAAACTGATTCGTAATGATGAGGGTATTTGTTCTCTTCAAGATCTTACTTCTAAATGGAACTTAAAGTTGGATGCACATGAATCAGAAACTTACCTGTACCAATGTTTTAATACAATACAAAATTGTGTTGAGGACAGCAAGACACGTATCTTCCAATATAAACTTATCCAATGTATCATACCATCAAAATAATTTCTTTACAAAATAGGACTGATAGAGGATAGCCTTTGTACATTTTGCCAATCAGAAAGTGAAACACTAGAACATCTATTTTTTTTCCTGTCGAAAAGTTCAAACTATGATAAATGAGTTCAAATTTTGGTATGAAAGTAGAACCAGTTCGAAATTAGACTTAAATATGAATAATTTCCTTCTTGGCGATTCAAAGTTGAGTATCCTTGAAAAACACCTTTTATTATAACGTTACATTCAAAATTGTCATGACAATAAGACTATTCCCATATTTACCCAATTATTACCGCTAATAAAATATAAAATCACAAGACCAAATTTTCAGAAAAATGGGCCCCTATACTAATATAGATGGACGCAAACCAATGCTTGATAATACCATCCTTTCTCTCCTTTATTTTCTTACTTTCCTACATCCCTATACCTCTTTCTTTGTACTTTATTCATACACCCATAAATCATGTCGTCTCTCACTTATCCCGCAGCTTGAAAATATGTGTTGTGTGTATTATCAAACTGTGTGAATATTGCATCACATGTTATCACAATAAAAAAAAGTCTATTGCGTAGGAAAAAAAACAACAACAAAAAACAAAACAAAATAAAAAAAACAAACAACATTTCTTGGCCAAAAGGCACAGGATAATCATCTCTGAACGGCATTTGAATAGGTTACTGACAAACTGAGATTATTTCGGCATCCTGGATGCTATTGGGAGCCAGTTACGGTTGTCTGGAGAGGTGCATGGCTATCACTGGATGCATTCAAAATGCATCCAGTCAGGACTAGTTGTCAAACAGGCAACAGCGAACCTTGCAAATACTGGTGGACCCAGTAGGTGAGGAGGTACGTCGGAGAGGGACACTCAGGAGACGTACATATTCAACAAATTGCCCAAACTTCATGTGGCATTTGGATTCTATGACAAACTAACACCTTATGGTTTGTACATTAATGCCTGTATGGATGGATTTTTCCGCAAAATAATCTGTCTGGAAGCTGCTAAAACAAATAGTGACCCAAGGATCATTGCATTTATTACATAAAGGCTAACATAGATGCTAATGGACCTCCTGTATGAATGTGCTGTGACATCGGGAGTGAAAATCGAACAGTTGCCGTTTTACAGAAATTCCCGCGTAGAACTACAGGTGATTGTCACGTGAGCTACTTCTTTGGGAACAAGTCAGCATAATCAAAGAATTGATCATGGTGTTGGTGGGGCATTCTGGGGAGACAGAATATACAGTTTTGGATGTATGTGTTTGAAGAGATGAAAGCTGACTGGCATTTCACAGGAGACATGCTGGACAAACGTTTCATCTAGTTCTGCTCTCTCCATATCCTGAAAACACATGTGATATGATATTCAAACTCTTCACGATAACACCTTGGAAATGTGTATCTTTCATCTGACTAATATTGAAATGATTGTAACGTGACAAAATCCATAAAGATTACTACATGCCGGGATTGTCCCGTTGTACTGAGAAAAGCATTGTGACCTGAATTACTAGTTTTTGGCTTCTGTATCAGCAATAGCCATGCATCTGTCCAGACAACTGTCACTGGTTCCCTATGAAGTCAGATACATCCAGGATGTCAGTAACCTTTTCAAATGCCATTCAGAGATGATTATCTTGTGCCTTTTGGCTTTTGGCCAACAGAGATGTAATCTCCGGGTAGGTAAAACCGAGATGAAAATGAGATGTTATATCAGGCATGACAGGCATACGTAGTATATCAGCCATGACAGGCATACGTATTATATCAGGCATACGTATCAAGTTCAGGCATACGTATTATATCAGGCATGACAGGCATACGTATTATATCAGGCATACGTATAATATCAGGCATACGTGTCTGCAGGTTTGAATACAGTGGTATTTGCAGGTTGCACTTTGGTGTCCTGTATCATGCCTTGAATGAATCATCCCGTGTGCAATGGTTAAAGCGTCCGGGTTCGATTCCCCACGTGGGTACAATGTGTGAAGCCCATTTCTGGTGTTCCCCGCCGTGATATTGCTGGAATATTGCGTAGAGCGGCGTAAAACAATACTCACTTACTCACTCATCCCGCACGCACGATATCCTGCATATTCCTTTCATGCGCACGCTTATCCTGTCTCATCATTTCGTAACATAAAGTGCGCACAATTTAGTATCCCGACATATAAAAATTAAATTCTCCTATTCATGTCCCTTCAACGCGTCCGTATTAACCACCTTCGTGAAACCCATTGCCCATATGTGGTGCTAACCAACCCAGAAATATAATCCGAGCCAACCTGGATTCGAAAACATATTAATCATAGGTTTCTGGCGGTCCCACGGAAACAGCTCTACATTCTGAATAACGTCCACTCCCTCACACATTAATACCACGCCCACGTTACAAAATGATGGGAAGGTATACAGTACCTCATGTTTGTAGGTTCCGATGGCGCCCTGCAGTTTGCTTCCTACTACCAGGACCACATGGTTCTACAGAGAGGTCCTCAGCGGGCCGTCATCTGGGGACATGCCACAAAAATAGGGGACACTGTCACAGTTGCCATCGCTGGCCATGGCTCGGTCACGGGTACTGTCACCAAAGATGCTGCAGGACATGGGACGTGGAAGGTCAAGCTGCCCGCTATGACGTCCAAAGGTCCTTTCACTGTGTCCGCTACTTCGAGTGAGGGGTCGGTGACCATCAAGGATGTCCTCTTCGGTGATGTTTGGCTCTGTGGTGGTCAAAGTAACATGGCGTTTCCAGCTGGACATGTAAGGGAAATATCTCCAAACTTCGTTCACTTAACGACGATTCCTAAAAGAGTTCATCAGTTGTATAATTGAGTACTCCAAACTTGATAGTGAATAAGAAGACAATTACTTAGCTCGCTATACCTTAAGGATTGTCAAGAATGTGATTCTCTTCAATGCACATTCAAATATACAGACTGAGAAAATTAACTGATTGGAAAACATATAGTGCCCTCATCACAGTTGTCCTGAACGTTCGAGTGAGGTTGGGAGTTGGTATATATAGGTGTTTCTTATGTACAGGTTTTTAATAGCACTGCTGAATTAGAAGCATCTCTGAAGTACGTGGACATACGTGTCATGCGAGTAAGTCACGCCCAGTCGACAACACCGCTCACGGAACTTGGGGCACAATATGACGTCGCTAAGTGGCAGGCACCAACAAAAGGTACCCAGAAATCAAGTCAAGATTGGACTGTGATACGACCTAAATGCCATTGACATTTATTTAGACGGTTTTCTTCTGAATTACTATAATCTTATGATATAATAAGAATATTTAGTTGTTATATTTACCCAACTTTACTAGATATACGACCACAGAAGGTATTAAATATTTTCTTTAGCTGGTATCAGCACTTTCTCTGCTGTGTGCTGGTTCTACGGCGAGTACCTCTACCCTGACAGAAAGTATCCTATTGGTTTGATCGCGTCCGACTGGGGAGGTACGCCCATCGAAGCCTGGTCCTCTCCCGATGCCCTATCGGCATGTTCCCATCACACAAAGCGGTGAGCATCCTTTCATAACTAAGTCCTATCTGGGTACGTAAATTTTTAAATGTTATGATTATGCCTATGTGTCTCGAAATTATTTATAATTTATTCACGTGACAAACTAAATAGTGTGAACATATTTCACAGAGGTCCACGTGCAGCCACTGTTCTCTGGAACTCAATGATTAATCCTCTTCTAGACCTTACCATATATGGAGCTATATGGTACCAAGGTATTCATCAAATAGCTGTCTAAATAGTTTGGAAGGAAAGTCGTCGAAAAATTCTAAATGCATGTAGATTATCCTACATGACATCAATACACAATTGAATATATCCTTTCTGATTTGATGACTACCATAATAGTTAATTATATTTTGAAGATCCGTCTATATCTTACAGACCGTAACCATATTTCACAATAATATGACTAATGTATTCTTCTAATTTAGGATCTATCTATTTTTACTGTATGGTGTGCTTGTCGACATTTTCGTCCCAGGTGAGGGAAACCGTGATTATGCTGATCTATATTCATGTCAGTTCCCTGCTATGATCAGCGACTGGCGACAGAAGTTTCACAAGGCTTCGTTGGGAGAAACGAGCGATACCTTCCCATTTGGTTTCGTCCAGGTGTGTTGTTTTGAGGAGTAATGTTATTCCTTTCGAATTTCAGAACAGAACAGAGTATATTAACAGAGTGCTTAGTGGTTTACACATTTCTAAACTTAAACATTTTTTCACAAGAAAGGGCTAGCTTAATTAACAATTCATCATTATGTGTAGTAATTACGAATATAAACTTATACATTGATGGGCAGTTGTAATAATATGTAGATAAATACCTTATACAAGGTTGTTTATAAGATGGACATAGCAGTACATGGTTTTTATCTTCTTCACCTTCCATTCAAAATTCCTAGAAGCGTCAATAAAATCAGACCCATTTGATAATCCAGTTCTACTGATTTTGAAATCATTTGAGCATCTAAACTTCGTTAAAGCCCTTCTTATATTTTGATGGTTGAATAGAGATCAAATATTTTTTTCAGGTTGCAGTTGAGATTTAAATGTACAATACGTTGTTAAATTAGATGAAGCAGAAATAGAAGTAAACCAATCTTGAGTAAAAACATCCCTCAATCTCAATGAATATTTTATATTTCCTGCATTATCTATGTACTACCAAATCCACATCTATTCTCCGTGACCACAACACGTTACCTTCAGTAAGATAAATTGAATGATATTCTGTGCATTTTGAGTAAAGGAACCACAGGTGAGGAATGCTTGGGAACTATCAGTAATCAGCAATGTCATGCTACACAGGACCCGTGCAGATCCGGGTGAGAATTGATCTTCAGTAACCCATGCTTGTCGTAAGAGGCGACTTACGGTAGTCAGGCTCGCTGACTTGGTTGACACATGTCATCGTATCCCAATTGCGTAGAACGATGCTCGTGCTGTTGGTCACTGGATCCAGACTCAATTATTTACAGACCGCCGCAATACAGCTGGAATATTGCTGAGTGCGGCGTAAAACTAAATTCACTTACTCACTCATGATACACAGCTGCACAACTTCAATATGGTTTTACAACTGGGTCGAAAACGGACTGAATTGAAACAAATGTGAAGGAAGAATGACATGAGTTATTGTGTTCTAGTTGGCAGGCTATCGTCAGAGCGCTACAATGATCGGGGGGTTTCCTGGACTGAGATGGGCCCAAACAGCGAACCATGGCACTGTTCCTAATCAGGATCTGAAGAATGTCTTCATGGCGGTCGCTATGGATCTACCTGACTACAAGTCGCCATATAGCATGTAACAGTATTATTCATTATTCATTATTCATTGTTGATGCAATCCCAAGGGAGCAAGAGTCCTGACTGTTTTGAACATATCGCTAAAACAATTGAAAACGATAGAGTCAAATCATTCAGCTATTTGACATGTAGAATATGTATAATGTTCACAGTCATATAATTCACTGATACATCTCTGTTTTAGAAAATTATAAGTACCATACTGTGCATTTGGTTCCCTTTGTCTGTACAGCCATTTAAGGGTTTTATTTCTGTCAGCATCCATCCCCGATACAAGCAAGATGTTGCTAGGCGACTGGTTCAATCTGCTCGAGGAGTTGCTTACAATGAACAAGGGGTGTTGTACCAGGGTCCTTTTCCCAAAACTGTAACAGAAAATGGACCACAACACACAATGAATATCATCTACAACTACGGCCCCATAACGGTTAACTCAAACAGTGGATTTGAGGTAGGTTCTGAGCGCTTCAACACAGATCTCCTCTTTAACATAATCTTTAACACAAATGAGAGTACATCATGATACAATGATGCAATATGATAAGATGGGGACATTAAATTATTATATGTTATGTTTGTTTTGTGTTTAACGCCGCTCTTAACAATATTCCAGCTTCATGTACACAATCCAGTGATTGACAGCGTCAGCATAGACCTCTAAAATGTGGATACAGTAATTTTAGAATAGCTCGAGCTCCTTTGGTCCTTTGGTGCTTGGATCAGATATAATATGTGTACCTGATCTACTTAGAAGTCGGGATGGTCTCCTCTAACAAGTAAACACTCAGTGCCATATGAACACATGAAGCTACAATCAGCTCCACTCAAACTCACAGTATTTAAGAATTGGTTCGAAAATTGTTTGGGGTTTATGAGGGTGTAAACGGAAATAGCATCTGCATACGGTGTAGGCCTACATCCGCGTAGCGTAGCGGTAATTACACAAATTGTGCGCTAATGTTTTAGCCAATGAATGCCACGGAATAACAAATTGAATGAAGTATCATTTATCAGAGCATTTTACACCCTACTTATAACATGTGTTCCGGTTCATCGATGAATCATGAATCACAACTCACAATGTGCTCACAACATCATCACTGGAATGTCTGGTCCAGACCTAGTCAAATACCTGCATTGCGTGCGGCGTAAAACAACAAACAGATACTGAAAACAAGCTTATTGAAAAAATAGTCCATGTACTGTCAAGGGCTGCAATACAAACAATAACACACCATCTACGTGTATGCATCCACGTTTTAAGGTTATGCAAAGTTCGTTATAGTTACAAACTCCCGTGAAATGACAGGTGTGCTGCTCAGCTGCTGCAAAGTGTGGTCCTCAAGATACATGGGTGGCCGCACCGATCCAGTCCCACCAAGACAACGAGGTGATTCTGTCCACACGATCTTGTAGCCACAAGGTCGTGGGTGTGAGGTACGCCTGGAGAGAGAGTCCCTGTGACTACAAGAAGTGCGCCATATATGGGAGGGAAACGTCACTTCCGGCTCCCCCATTCTTACACACAGACAATTTCGGGCCTGGACAAATCATTGGTTAATAAATCTTATAATGTGTTGAATTAACGGGTTCATTTTTCACACGAATTGTTCGTTTTAATATGTACAGATTGGCAATGAAGGGAGTGAAAGCGAAATGTTTTTTGAAAACAAGGTAATTACAAGGGACTATTTTCAAGCATTAACATGACATTTTAATAATGTTGAGGTGGCGGAAAGTCCTTCACCTTAAAAACAGCGGCATATCTGTACGCTGTGCGTAGAGACCTATTTTAGACGCACCATGGGCCAGATGGCATTTACTTTCACCTTCAACTCTTTTCCCACATTAACAACTGATAGGATTGGGGACAGATATTTTACGTTGCCTGTGTTTGACCACCAAGGCAAGCTGAACACGGTCGTCGTTTAACAGTGATTCATATTATAATTCAATTAATTATTACATAAGCCGAAATTCACGTCAACTCAATTTCTACAAAAAGGATAATAATCAGAGCAATTTCCCTACAATTTTCCTTAATATTTTCCTAATTGTCATCTTCCTTCCAAGCGATTACCGTTTGAGGCGACTAACGGGATCGTGCGGTCAGGCTCTCTGACTTGGTTGACACATGTCATAGTATCCAAATTGCGTCGATCGATGCTCATGATGTTGATCACTGGATTGTATGGTCCAGACTCGCGACTATTTACAGACCGCCGCCAAAGATGGAATATTGCTGAGTGCGGCGTTAAACAAGGACCAAACCAATCCAAGCGTTAACGTCCAGCCATAACATGTGTTGTTTGATGCCAATCATAGGACAGCTTAAAAGCTTCTGTCAGGAACACAAAGAAAACAACCTCGTTCAGTTCAGTTGAGTAACAATTTCTTTCGGGAGGAAGCTGCAATTTATTCACAGAGGAGACCCGTGAATCAGATATTTTTGATCTGCAGTTTCGCTGTTGTGTTTCGCTGACGAGCCAAACACCACGTGCTGCTGCCGTAAGATGTCGTTTTGTAAGATGGCCTCCGATCACAGTGAGAATCGGCAGTACACTCACCTCGATCTAACCTCTCACAGCTGCAAATAGGATGAAACAGTTCAAGACAGTTCCACCCAAAAGATTTGAAAACAGAATTGGCGAAGCAATGCAGAAAACATTAGCCTTAACTTGAACCCGAAAAACATGAAACCTCCTCCATAAGTTTCATCTGTCGATCGTACAATATGGAAATCAATTCGTGATATAGAATTCAAGGAGACGTCAATGGTCTTTTTAACACATAAAAGATGATCACTTTTACCTAAATGTTTTTGTGTACATACAAAATGAGATATCACATGCGATTTCTTAGATGTTGTCATATCGGGTTTACTTGAACACTCGACAACTATCATCTCACTGTCAAACAATGCGTTTTATCAGTCAACAATTACCAACTGTTTTTTTACAGTGAGCGTGAATAGCACATGGATCTCAATGAATATAGCCCGCAATAGACATAGCTGTAAATTAGTATTTAGAGAAGTGCAATATCATGAATTCGAAACAACATTGTTTTAAGCGAGTGATAGTGTAAATTCCTTTTGTCACATGGTGTCACTGCAATATTTAGGGTACGAACAGTTATTGAACAGCGTATTATTAAAACACATACAACTGACTGTAATGTTACAAAACACTGATAATCTCTTAGTTCCATCATGTCAAAACAACGATTGACGGGTATGTGACCTCTAAAGTACATGTTATTTAACTCAACCAGCCTTCTAGAAAGTATTGCAATACCTGTGATTTGTAACCCCATATAGCCATATATATTCATATAAAAATCATGTTCGTGTGTATGATATTTTGACAATTCGGGCGCACCGTGAATCGACTTAAGCTATGAACGTGCTACGATCAAAGGCGAGCATCGCGTGCAATAGTCTACCCGTCATTAAGCCATTATCAAGATTTAGACAACTTACATCTCCATAAGTATGTAAATCAATTTAGTCCGGTATTGATAAGCCGATTGGTCAGAAAACATCAGCAAACTAATGACATTAAATAAAGTCATCGTTCAGATCGGTCACGAGTGGCAACTCCGTGGATTAGTACAATCACAAGGCTTCATCATTTCATATCAAGTGGAGTGGCGTGCACGTCCACGTATCATTCTCCGTGGTAGTTTTCCTAGTTCTGGTCGCTACACACGTCGGTGTTTGTCCTAAATTCGGCCAGATCTCAGACGTCCGTTATTATCCATGGAGCACAAACCAGCACGACTAGCTTTCACATGACGGTAAATATGAACTTGTGACGATCGGACAAAATCTGAAAGGACAACGGTATATGACTAACATCACAGACAGGGTTGCTGTACTACATTTCAATGGCCATCCTCTGAACACAAGGACACTCCATGGACGACAATGCTAGGTCACATCGAGCACGAGCCGTGCCGATTTCTTAAATAGAAGCCCGCCAGATGTCCAGATCTTAACCCTATAGAGCACGTTTGGGACAGTACGGGTTACAGAATACGCCAGAGAGATCCTCCAGTAGAAACTATTGATGTATAGGAACTTCTCCTTCAAGTATGGAACGCAATACCTCAACGTCACATTCAACGACAGATACAGTGAATGTTAAAGAGGGTCAGAGATGGTATTGACGTTGACGGTTACACCAGATATTGACATTGGGTTCGGGAGTTGATACTTACGTGATTTCTTGAATATTGTATGCTGGAATCTTGAAATTGCATCGCACTTGTTAACGTCACACGACAATAATTATCAGCACTACATTTCTTTTGCTATTTTCGGTTCTCTGAATAAGCTTCAGTGTCTTGTGCGTTCAAACCGAAATATGAGTCTCATTAACCTATTCAGACAATGACCTACTTTTCAGCCGATCCGAATTTTCTCGTGTGAAAGAGAAAATAGACATCACAAACAACTATGGTTACACTGAATTCCAATTCCTTGTTTCATAAGAAAATGGTATTTATTAACATCGTATTTCTATATTTTATGGCGAGGTGTAGGCAGCATGACCTTAACTAAGACGTCACAGACTGCCCCTGTTTGATGAGGTCGTAAAATGATTCACAATGCATCTGGCTCACTGGTTACACCTGTTATGTGTTTTGTGCGCTTATTCAGAGTAGTTCTGTATCACACAATGTGATTGATATAATATCAATTCCGTACCAGACCGCCAAACATTTCTTGCGGCAGAGCCTCGTTTTGAGATTACCATGATTTCCAGATTTCCGTTTGTCAGAGCTCGGTGTACGACGTGTTTGCAAGGATTAGATGGCGCGTGGTGTTTCAATATACAAGTGCTTAGTTAGATGTATCAAATACTACTGATTAATATTTATGTATCCAGTTAAATGAATTAGTCTAAAACTTCTCGACTGGTTATTGTACTAAGTTGCGCAATAGGACGGAACCCAGTCAACAGGAAACGAGACTGTTGTGTAAGCAATGTTTTGACTTGATATGATTATTCCTTGGGGGTCAATTTATCCAGACATTAAGTTAAATTGAGGTTTGGATCATTTCTTTTTTTATAGTTACTCGCAACATATTGATGCTATGGAAAATATGGGGCTTGTTTCTGCGTGTATACATAAATTAAATAATGAATATTTTAATATGAATATAGACCATTATGTAAATTGTAACTGTAAGAATATTTATTGCACACTTCACAGGATTTTAACAGATTTGAAATAAATGAATATAAAATTGAATCAGAGGGGCCAACATTTTAGAAACATCCCTCTGTTACAAAGTGCATGTCCATTAACAAACATGGAAATCCAAAGTACAGATAAAATTCAAGGACACTCGGTTCTATTATAATCAAGGACAACAACCACACTCAATCCCATGGTTTCTTATCAAACAGAAGTCTTTTTCACATGATTATACAGGTATAAAAGAGCATCATAATCAACCGTAAGTTATTTTGGGTCAACCACAAGGGAGAGGATCCAAGACTGGACATGTTGCCTGTCCTGATCGTAGCCCTCTTCTTAGCAGGTAAGAGAAGAAATAGTGTGATTGTGTGGGAAATGAATGATAATAATGTCCATGTAGTCTTGTGGACTCCATATACATTGAGCAGCAGCGTTAAAGGATACATACTCAAAGACAGAGTTTTGTTACTCACAAACAAGCAGCATCAGTGTTAAGTTTTACCGGAAATGGAATGCTATTCCACTGAAAGACAAATGTTTCAAGTTATGGTAACGATGAACAGTCTGTAAGTACAGCGCAACTGATATAGTATGACCAGAAATTATTGAGAATTTTAGGAATATGTTTAATTGGATTTCTAGTATAAACAACCTTGACCAGCTTCATTCAAGAGAGACAACTCCGTTAATCCTTTTTCATTAGTTTGTGAAGAGTTATCCCCCTTTGTTTACTTGCTAGCAGACGACATTTTCAGTGATCCTCAGTATGGATGATTTAGAGAAGAGGAAGTTGATTTTAGAGTATTATAACAAGGACATCAGATCAGCTTAAGTGATTTCAAGTAGAACAGGCATCCCTTTGTCAACTGTTTATCGTGTTTTGAAATATATTGCAAATGGATATGGCATTGAGCACCAGGGAGGCGCAGGTAGGCACAGAAAATTGACTGTCGGTGACAGGAGGCAGCTTGGTATTCTTGTTTCTAAAAACAAACGAAGGAGTTTAGAAAACTTAAGGCTGGATATGATTGATAGAGGAACTGTGGCTGTTTGTAAGGAGACAATTAGAACTGAGCTGCATGCAATGGGTTGGCAGAAAAGTTGAGCAATTCCATCACCGATCATGAAACCTGAACAAAAGGAGCGAAGGTGCTTACAGCATAGAAATTTAAACTGGGACAATGTGATTTTCTCAGATGAAAGTTCTGTGTGGCTGTTTCCTAACACACTGAAATTCTGGACCAAACAAACTGAAAAACCTTTGTATCAGCGCCCAAAGTACAGTCCGAAATTTAACGTGTGTGGGTGGTGGGGGCATATCTGTGTTCGGGGAAACGCCCCTCTGTGTATTTGAAGGGAATATGAACAGTGAGCGGTACACAGATATTCTCGAGGGACATTTACTTCCATCTTCTCACGTGTTCTATGGGAATGTTTTGATTTTCTAGCAGGACATCGTTCAAAGCATTCACAGGCCTGGTTTCGGGACCCAAAATATGACATTATTAGATTGGCCAAGATATAGCCCTGACCTAAATCCAATAGAAAATGTTTTGGGACTTATGAAGGAAAGTGTCAATAAGACAAATCTGACAAATATTGCTGAAATGAAAGAAGAGGTGGTCCGATATTGGGACAGCATGGACCACGACTTTCTAACTTCTTTGATCAGAAGTATGCCCCGCCGCATTGAAGCCTGCATTGCTGCCCATGGTGACTTGACAAAGTACTAACTGTTCACCTGTCTTTGAATCTGGAGTTATTTTCTGCTAATATTCACATTTAATACGTGAGTAATGAGTGAAAAAAGAAAAAAAATACTTCATCTTAAATTCTCAATACATATGCCAGTGAGACACAGTAACGAGTGTGGCCACCTTGTGCATCGATGCAGGTCTGAGGATACTAAACGTCGTTCTGGGGGAAATCGTTCCATATCCGAGGAAGGATTTGGCGGAGCATTGCAGCATTGTTGGAGTATTCCGATGACGTAGTAAACGTCATCCCAGACGCGTTCATTGGGTGACAAATCGCAGGATCTTGAGGAATACCGTGATACATGAACATTGTCCTGACTAAGACACTGTTGTACAACTCGAGCACAGCCACTCATGGCTGATCTGCTGCAAAATCTCGTCTCGGTACCCCACAGCATTCAAGTTCCCCCAAATCACAACAATTGGCGGCAGGTGTTATCCCACCCCATAACGCCCCATGTTCGAACAACCCTCTTCAAGAACACATGGCCAGATTCATCTGAGTAGGCAAAGGGATACCTATTTTCGGTTCAGCAAAATCCCATCTGATAGGACATGTGTCAATTCATTGTTTAGTTGCATGGGCAGCTATCCACGACGTTCACAATCAGCTATGTCACATTTCATGACAACAACTGATGTAGTTCTGGTATTTCAGGCCTATCGCGGCTTACGTTATAAGGACTGAATGAACATTATTCAAATGATGTTCGCATCAAGTCCGATGTTTTGCCTTGTCAAGAGCTCTGCTCTTCAGTGACTTATAATCACCAGATGACGTTTTACAGCTGACATTTCACATGTGATCTATTTATAAAAGGTGTAAATGATATGAGCGTAAACTTGTGTCTCAACATCACGGCTAATAGGATGCAAGATGTCGTCCAAACCTCTTTGTTGTTTAGTAATGGGCATTTCTTCGTGAGATAACACATTTAACTAACTAATGCCATACTAACGTATATTGTTTCATGCGTGTGGGGTGTTAATGCCAGTGAGTATCTTGCTGCTCATTCAGCATAAAAACATGTCATACAATTTCGACAATATTTTGGCCTATACTTTACATATTGGGGCATATGTACTCACTTTAGCCTTCCTATTGATGCAAAAACGACATATTGTCCCTTACGACTGCAATCGATAAGGGACATAACTCTATGGGGTTCGCATGAAATTACGATCTACCGGTAGAGGGCGCGAGAGTCGATGTATTGTAACGTTGCATTACTTCATTCGAATATTTTAATGTAACATTGAAATCTAAATACGTAATTTGGGGGAATAAATTATTTTGTAGCTTCCCTGAGGGCTGATAGTTAGCATTATTGAGAGAAATGCATTATTTATGTTTAGAGAAGTGTGGTGTAATATAGTGCCTTTAACGTTATTCTGCATTAATCCTTATCGACTGATGAAATATTCTTTGTCTAAATTAAGTTCACGCATCTATAGGGCATCAATACTTTAAATTTATTCCTGTTTACAGATAGAAAATCGTATGTTTGTAGGGTCCAATGGCGCCCTGCAATTTGCCTCCTACTACCAGGACCACATGGTTCTACAGAGAGGTCCTCAGCGGGCCGTCATCTGGGGACATGCCAACAAGATATGGGACACTGTCACAGTTGCCATCGCTGGCCATGGCTCGGTCACAGGAACTGTCACCAAAGATGCTGCAGGACATGGGACGTGGAAGGTCAAGCTCCCCGCTATGACGTCCAAAGGTCCTTTCACTGTGTCCGCTACTTCGAGTGAGGGGTCAGTGACCATCAAGGATGTCCTCTTCGGTGATGTTTGGCTCTGTGGTGGTCAAAGTAACATGGAGTTTCAACTTAGATATGTCAGTAATATATTTATAATGGTTACGCTCATAATCGCTTTACTCTAAACACATTCTATTGTAAATTCACAATGTAATATTTTCACCAATCTTCAGTGTCGGTAGTTTATTTCTTTTATTGACAGTTTGAAAACCACACTGATTTGCCACCGATATATAATACGTACAAATATATTACAATGACACTACCATATCATTAAAGAAATGGTAAAGGACACAAGTTTGGTGCAACTAGCCTGCTGGAGGCCACTCCAAGTGCCCAGGGCCTTCGGGAAGAGGTATATGGTCAGGGCACGGTCGTTTGTCAGAGTATAGAGATACAGTACTAGTTAAATGAAATTGACAATACTTTTCTTTTCAAAAATATATGTGTACTTCCATGACATTGCGTTCTTCGCTTCAATGTTCTTCTTGTTCTTCAGGTGTTAAATTCCACTGCCGAAATACAAGCTGCACTGAAGTATACTGACATCCGGATCATGCGAATAGGTAACGCTCAGTCGACAACACCTCATTCAGAAGTTGTACCCAATGGAATATCTCTAAAGTGGACGCAGCCAACCAAAGGTATTCTAACATAAGCAATACAGTAAAGGTTAAAGCCTAATATGAATTTGAAAATACTTGATTCTCGTGGTTTCAAATTCCAGTAACCACCTGTGACTGCAACATCCCCATTTGACGAAGGCATATATTAATGGAAAAGTGTTTCAGTCCGCATCAGTATCTATAGGACTCTCTAAGTATTGAAATGTACAATTATAGGCAACAACGATCAGTATCCTGGTGACACTGGGAAAATACACTTGTCTAATATATATGGTGGCTGATTAGGGCCATCGCTTTCTCGTCTTAAAATTCGGAGGCGAGAAAGCGAGAAAGCAATATCACGAGACGAGAAAGCGATAACACGAGACGAGAAAGCGATAGCACGAAAGCGATGGCCCTAATCAGCCACCATAAATATAGTGTATTTCAAATTCTAGGCAGATAAGAGTGGTTAAAATCTGGCCGTTTTACTACTCTTATACTAACACATGAAACCTAAAAACTAATTGGCTTCAATAAACCTACCGGTAACGTACCGTTACAGTACGTATGTCTGATAATTAAATGCTCCATCTGAATTGTGTACATGGAAACTGCATACTCTAATATTTGAATGACAAAAACATCGCTTACACTACACAGGTGCTATAACGTATTTCTCTGCTGTGTGCTGGTTCTACGGCGAGTACCTGTACCCTGACAGAAAGTATCCTATTGGTTTGATCGAGTCCAACTGGGGAGGTACGCCCATCGAATCCTGGTCCTCTCCCGACGCCCTATCGGCATGTTCCCATCACACAAAGCGGTAATAATTGCGTTCCGTAGACTATTTTATAATTTATCTAACATTCATATCAATCTGTTATGCTATTATGAATGCGATAGGTGTATCAGATATAGTACGTGACCACACATACCAATCCCCAAGTTGTTTTCCAGGGGTCCAACCGCACACTCTGTTCTTTGGAACCCAATGATCAGGCCTCTACTTGGTCTTACCATATATGGAGTCATATGGTACCAAGGTATAAATCTTAAAACTGTCTCTATATGTTATTGTAGGATATCCAGCTATCCTTAATGCCCCAAAGCTAATGTTAATGCTGGATCAATGTTCATTTACCATCTAATTCCTACCAATGTTCACTTATGTCCTCGCTTTATGCGACATGTAAACCCAGATATCTACTTTCAGGTACATTATATATTAATATGTTTGGTGTAACATTTCTGTTCCAGGTGAAAATAACGCTTGGCAGCCTGAAACGTATTCATGTAAGTTCCAGGCACTGATCAACGACTGGCGACAAAAGTTTCACACGTCTTCTTTGGGGGAAACGAGCGCTACCTTCCCATTTGGTTTCGTTCAGGTGCGTCATTACAAACTGTGTATGTTTGCTTCAATAAATTTACAGTCAAACCAGTGAGTGAGTGAGTGAGTTTAGTTTTACGCCGCTTTTAGAAATATTCCAGCAACATCACGGCGGGGGACACTAGTAATGGACTTCACACATTGTGCCCATGCGGGAATCGAACCCGGGTCTTCGGGATGACGAGCGAACGCTTTAACCACTAGGCTACTCCACCGACCCTCAGTCAAACCAGAAAATTTTTATGCTCCACAGTGAAAGCCAATCTCCCCATATGTACATTGTTGAACTTTATAACTATATAAACTTCTTTATTGCAATGAGTGCGAGGTTTCGGTGTAGGTGCTAACACCGTTATCAAGCAAGTGATGACGTCGCACTCATTGCAGTAAATAAGTTGAATATGCATAGAACTTGGTTTTCCTTCATCACTTGCTTCAGAACTAACTTCATACCTTGGAACACATTAATGTAGATAGGCTAAGACTCACGTTTTGTCGTTAGAGATGACTCACGGGATCGGGTGTTCGGATTCGCTGACTTGGTTGATTTATGTCATCGTATCCTAGTTAAATCGATGCTTCTGCTGTCAGTCACAGGATTGTCCTGTCCAGACTCGATCGTTTATATGCCGTCATCATTAAGCTGGACTACTTACGAGTGTGGCTTTAAGCCATAAATAGGCTATATTTCAGAGTTACTGCTTTGTAGTTGGCAGGGTATCGTCAGAGCGCTACAATGATCGGAGGGTTTCCTGGACTGAGATGGGCCCAAACAGCAAACCATGGCACTGTTCCTAATCAAGATCTGAAGAATGTCTTCATGGCGGTCGCTATGGATCTACCTGACTACAGTTCGCCAAAAGGATCGTACGTCACAGGTTTAGCTTTCTATTATGCGTCACTGATGAAAAGTTAAATCCAGAGCATTGTTCTTAAAAAACAACAAACGTGTTCATCATTCAAAAGGATAACTGAAATGACTTGTTTAAAGTCCCACAAAATATTAATATTGCTGTTCACATTATTTATTTACTTCATATGCAGTGTTTCTGATCAATGTATGCATTTATTTACACTATGATAGCATTCATCCCCGGTACAAGCAAGATGTTGCTAAGCGACTGGTTCAGGCTGCACGAGCAGTAGCCTACAACGAGCAATGGGTGCACTACCAGGGTCCTTTTCCCAAGACTGTAACAGAAAATGGAGCACAACACACAATGAACGTCATCTACAACTATGGTCCCATAAGAGTCAACTCGAACAATGGATTTGAGGTGGGTTTACTTCATCAAAAATCTCCATAGTAATTCAAATCTGCCAATAGTCTTTCTGGAACTAACAATCGATTCCCTAAAACCTCAAATTTCAAATTTCAATGACCTCAGTATTACACAAAGCCCGTCTATGTTAGAAGATTAAGTTCCATGTACAACTGACTAAAATCTCTCAATATGAGAGTACTTGTAAAATTACAAGTGACATCAAATTTATTAAAAATTTAGTATTCAAATGTATGAAGCCTTATGCAAACAGATGTGTTCAATTTACTTTTTCACATACATAATAATATTATAAAGAACGTTAGAATGCAGCAGATGTTAATGGAATCACAGATTGACCATCCCTGCCAAATGTTTGCACTTTTCATTTTACTCCACCAAAATCTCAAGAGCATCTGAACTGACTAAGTCTGATTACTCTGAATCTGTAGGTCTGTTGTTCGACTGATGCAACATGTGGTCCTCAAGATACATGGGTGGCCGCAACGATCCAGTCCCACCAAGACAACGAGGTGATTCTCTCCACAAGATCTTGTAGCCACAAGGTCGTGGGTGTGAGGTACGCCTGGAGAGAGAGTCCCTGTGACTACAAGAAGTGCGCCATATATGGAAGGGATACGTCCCTTCCGGCTCCCCCATTCTTACACACCAATACGTTTGGGCCTGGACAAATCATTGGCAAATAAATCTTATAATGTGCTGAATGAGTTTGTTCCTTCAACCAAGCCGGTTATTCGTCTGGATGTGTTTATTGAAACACATGAAGTGAAAGGAGGTCCAGCTCAACAGCACGGCATTTCCTTCGAGCGGCCCTTCCTGCTCGCTGTCATACCTGTACATGCACTTCGGAATACCAGACAGTATCGAAAGAGAGAGAAAGAAAGAAGAAAACTTGTTTATTACAGTGTGTCATACCCTGGTATAGAGTCCGGCCTCTTTAGGCCTATGAGACACAAAGAGACAAGAATAAAACTCATGATAGCATTAAAATGGCACTCATCTAGTCAAAACACATACTGTAACAACAACCATACAGTGGCACAAACAACCCCCATGTATACACAGTTACTGATCTGTACATGATACCATACTTCATAACACCCCTCATAGGAACAGCTTCTTACATTCCTTCACATTCAATGTCATCCACATGCATCCAAGTGCCACCACACCAACTTACCTCCCCCCATTCATTCAACAGTCAGACTGCTTAACAAATAAAATACATAAATAATAGTATTAAAATGTGTGTGTGTGCGCGCACGCACGCACGCACGCACGCACGCACGCACGCACGCACGCACGCACACGCACACACACACACACACACACACACACACACACACACACACTGACCCCATCTACTCCGTAACCCTTGCATGTCAGTCTTCCCCCAAACATATACGATGAACAACACTAGACAGACCGAAGACAATCGTATTTTCCTTGAACATGCGACGTGTGATTACAAGCACGGCCCAAGGGATAACCGAGCCAGTCTTACTCTAAGGCTGTACTGAGTGCTGAGCCAATGGGTATATAGTAATTCTATCCTTTAAAGAGGCAAATCTTGATACGCGGACAGTACATAGGGACACCAGTCTAGCTATCCTTCATGAAATGTTAATCAACACGGTACAAAGTGTGAAATATAGCACCTAGTGCTGTTATACGATGCTGCCCATTATGTGGGGGTAAAATCAAGTTAATCTGTGAACCATGCAGCGTTACAACATGGATATCCTACTTCGGTACGGGACTTTGTACCGACTTTGCCGGATCTCTGTTAGGCCGAGGTATATTAACAACACAGAAGTTATAACTGTGACATGACTCATCCTGGTCTACAAAATGGTGTGCAGTCTGTTAAAGTAGCAATAACAATAAAAATATACCAAGGTTACGTGGATGAAGGGGAAATGTGGAACCATAATGTATACTCCCCACCAGAAGTTTAGACTCACTCAGACCACTCAATATATCTCAAAGCAAAATCGTAATTGTGTAAGATAATCATAACAAATCACAAAATCAATCTTTTATCCGTTTTAATCCATGTTCAAAAGAAAGTCAGGGTCGACCATTATTAAAGCAGGATGGCATATTGGCCGATACCATGAAAAGTGTAATCTCAAAAGTCAATATCGGGTATGTCCACCCCTGGCTCTCACGCAGGCATTGCATCGACGTCGCATGCCACGAATCAATAACCCAATCTGTCTCTGGGAGATGTTTTGCCACTCCTCTAACAATGCGTAAACACGACGTCCAAGCACATCCCATACGTGCTCAATCGGGTTCATATCGGGCGACAATGCTGGCCAATCCATTCGATGAATTCCATTCTGTTGCAAACAAGCCGTCACGATGTGAGCTCTGTTAGGCCGGGCATTATCGTCTTGAAAAATCACGCGACCAGGCATAGCCCTTAGGAACGGAGGAATGGGAGTGATGATTTCGTCCCGATATCTCTGTCCGGTCAGATTTCCCTCCACTACCAACAAATCTGTGCTGCCATTCATGGTGATACCTCCCCAAACCATAACGGATCCACCTCCAAACCGATCGTGCTCCACAACTGCAACATCAGCGTAACGCTCTCCCTGACGTCTGTACACAGGGAATCGGCCATCATTGAAATGCTGGTTAAACCTCGAATCATCCGAAAAGGGTACCCAAGCCAATCTGTGCGGACCCCAGCGCAAATGTTCATTTGCCCAAATCAGTCTGGCCTGGCGGTGGTGTGGTGTAAGAGGGGGTCTTACAGTCGGACGACGTGCACGCAATTCGTAGTGACGTAATCGGCGGCGTATCGTTGATACAGATACACGCCTTCCTGTAGTTTGTTGGAATTCACCGTTGACTGCTGTAGCTGTGATGTGTCTCCTCCTGAGAACAATCAAACGGATGTATCAGTCATTGTGTTGTGATGTCACCCTGGGCCTACCCGATCTGGGGCGATCTGGGACAGAGTCAGTCAGTTGGAAGCGTAACCAGAGGTAGGATATTGCCTTTTGGGATACCCCAAGACGTCTAGCAACATACCGCTGTGATCGTCCATTTTGTAGCAGTGCCATGGCTTGATGCCGTTGATCATTACTGTGACTTTTGCCTCTACCCATGCTTACAACGAAGATGAATTTCTCCATTAACATCGGGGAAGCAACTGCAAACCTTTTTGAAGATGATTTGCATGAGGATCATGCATCACATTGCTGAAAAGCATGCGCAATCTCGTGCATGTGAAGAGCTGCGTTTTGATGTAAAGTTTTGTTAAGAATTCGAAAATTATTACTTTTTTTTCGTGCTTTATTCAACTCATAACAAAAATCTTTTCAACGTTGCGAAGATGGTTTACAGTGAAGCAGTTCATGTGTAAACAGTGCCGTTAAACAGTGTTAAATATCATGCACAATCGAGTTTGGAACCGTTGACTGAAGTTAGTGGCTATGTTTACACTAGTGAGTCTAAACTTTTGATGGGTAGTATATATTGTCACATGTCGATTTCCAAGTTGAAACAAGATCGAAGTTGAACTAAATCTACTCGAAACAATTCAGTGGGAATAAAAAACTAACAAAGAAAGGTTATGCAATTAAGCGTAGTTTTATTTAATCATGTTGTTATGTAGGTTTACAAATAAATACATATAACTGCAAAGAAAACTGACAAAAGCAGTATAGTATGAGTGAGTGAGTCTGGTTTTACGCCGCTTTTAGCAATATTCCAGCAATATCACTGCGGGGACACTAGAAATGGACTTCCATTTGGGAAATCCATGTCATGTTTGTCCAGTATTTCATCATATATTGTATATGTATATGAAGTATGCAGTCTGGTTTAACATTGGTTGGTTGGTTTGTTGTTTTACGCCGCACTCAGCAATATTCCATCTATATGGCGGCGGTAATTAATCGAGTCTGGACCAGATAATCCAGTGATCAACATCATGAGCATCAATTTACTCAGTTGGGAACCGATGACATGTGTCAACCAAGTCTGCGAGCCTGACCACCAGATCCCGTTAGTCGCCTCTTATGACAAGCATGGTTTACTGAAGATCAATATTCTAACCCGGATCTTCACGGGTCTCTGGTATAACAATTTAACACGATAAAATATTCCCTTCGATAAATGCGCACAAAAAGAAACGTTTCTTTTCTTTTCTCGTGATACAAATAAATTATTAAGTATTTTCAGCTTTCAAACATCCTCTGACTACGGAAGGGGGACCTCATGAAATATAATTTATCTTGAGCGCACAAGTTAGTATATTGAGCGCACAAGTTAGTATCTTGAGCGCACAAGTTAGTATCTTGAGCGCACAAGTTAGTATCTTGAGCGCACAAGTTAATATCTTGAGCGCACAAGTTAGTTATCTTGAGTGCACAGGTTAATATATTGAGCGCTCAAGTTAGTATCTTGAGCACACAAGTTAGTTATCTTGAGTGCACAAGTTAGTATCTTGAGCGCACAAGTTAGTATCTTGAGCGCACACGTTAGTATGTTGAGCGCTCAACTTAGTATATATTGAGATACACTGCTTCATAAGCAGTTCATGTGGAAGCAAGGAGGAGCGGAAACGCGAACTGATTCATGCTTATTTCAGTCTTGGGTTCCAATACAAACACATAACACATCTTCTTGTCAAAACTCAGGGTATAGTATAGTACGCCACTTGAAAGCGTATTCTGAGGTGTATGTCCCTCTCGTACCAGATACCAGATTTGCTGATGTTACAGTGAATGAGTGAATACGGTTTACACCGCTTTTAGCAATATTCCAGCAATATCACGGTGGGGAACACGAGAAATGGGCTGCACACATTGTACCCAGCTTGGGGAATCAAACCCAGGCGTGACGAGCGGACGCTTTAACCACGAGGCTACCCAACCGCCGCGCTGATGTTACATACTTTATTGCGGACGACTTCGACGATCTGAACAAAGACATGGTTATCGTTGATGCATCAAAAATGTATTCAATGCGGTTTAATCGTGAAACAGGATACTGTACGGTCGTTGTTGGACCCGAATGGTGTTGAATTTCGCTCAGGACACTGTCTTCATCGACGTCTTTATTCTTCAACTTCCTGTGTTGTTAAAACATGTTAAATAAACTACAACACACATACGTATACATAAGGGATTGATACGGAAGAAGTGAAACGGGGAACACGGTATTTTAGTAAGAAATAAAGTCGGTATATATGCTATACGTGCACATACTAATGGATCAAATAAATCAGGCGGGTTTTAAATGATATTGTACAGAGTTAAACTGCCATTGTACCCACGTTAGGAAACATTACTGATACATGCAAACCAAGACTACAGACTATAGTTCCCTGAAAGTGGTCGACTTTACTTCCAATACATCCGACATTAGTTTTATAATTAAGATAATTAAGTATAACACTCAATGTTTACATTTTTCATGGTCATGTAATGCTATATATACATAATAAAGCCGTAGCAAAAAACAAGTTATCCAAGTGTTCATAATTCTATGTACCAATATAAGAAGCAAGTAAAACCACTATTCATCCCTGCAATAAACTCCTACTCATGTTTATGTTTTAATTCTTATTATGACATTACACATACCTAGGCCTGCTTTATGTAATAAAGCAAAAAGTGGTAAAATCAGATACAAAGAATAGTATTGACAAGCATAAAGACGATGAACGTTTACATGATAAACATTATCAATGTTCATGATACATTTGCATACTTTTACATAGTCTCATCATAAACACCTATTGTTATCTCCGACTTTGCATCGTTTGAAATCTTCCAAAAGGATATAAGTTTGTACATTTTAGCCAGCAGTCAAGCAAATGTGCGTTCCATTAATGCCATTAGATGCTAAACACAGAGTTGAGCGCTCAAGATATTAACTTGTGCGCACAAGATACTAACTTGTGAGCTCAAGAGATATTAACTTGAGCGCTCAAGATAACTTAACTTGTGCGCTCAAGATACTAACTTGTGCGCTCAAGATAATTAACTTGTGCGCTCAAGATATTAACTTGTGCGCTCAAGATATTAACTTGTGCGCTCAAGATATTAACTTGTGCGCTCAAGATATTAACTTGTGCGCTCAAGATACTAACTTAACTGCGCTCAAGATAACTAACTTGAGCGCTCAAGATATTAACTTCTGCGCTCAAGATACTAACTTGTGCGCTCAAGATAACTAACTTGTGCGCTCAAGATAAACTTGTGCGCTCAAGATATTAGCTTGCGCTCAAGAACTTCTGCGCTCAAGATACTAACTTGTGCGCTCAAGATAACTAACTTGTGCGCTCAAGATAAGTAACTTATGCGCTCAAGATATTAACTTGTGCGCTCAAGATACTAACTTGTGAGCTCAAGATAACTAACTTGTGCGCTCAAGATATTAACTTGAGCGCTCAAGATACTAACTTGTGCGCTCAAGATAACTAACTTGAGCGCTCAAGATATTAACTTGTGCGCTCAAGATAATTTTATTTTATGAGGTCCCTTCAGCGCTTCCGTATCTGACAGTATGAAAAAAGTAGAAATTAAATGTTTTGATTCGAAATATTTTCTGTCGCAAGAGAGCGAGTTCTCGGCGCTAAGTCGAGGAAGAATTACCTCCCTTCGTAAAGCAAACTCACCACGTTGCGCTTCAACTCGCATGACTCTGCAGAATAACATTGATTGACACACAAATAGGTCGTCTTCCTACAGTGGACAGTCATATGGTGGAAGTTCACGTGGTGGTCCACAGATTTGTTCTATGTGTGTTGCTCTATGCACACGCTATCAACACTGCAACCGACAGGGTTAGTATTCACTATTTATCCGAGTTAACACGGGGTCAAAGTTTGCCGTATTCGATCGCATGTGAACGTATAACTGGGAACAGGTGTTCTGTACGAGCATATGTAAACGGGCGCAGGTACGGTTGAGGTCGCCAGTTAAATACCCGTATATACTTCAAGTGTGCATATGTATGTTTGATTATATATAATTTGATAACAGTAAGTGTTATCATACAGTCCTGTCATCTGGTGTTACCGTATTACCTCTGTTGGATGTACTGGCCTCTATTAACACAAGCCGCTGACCTGGCCTCTGGTTCAGGGGCAACTCACTTACTTACTAAATCCAGATTATGCTAAGCGTCTATATGCAGGTCAGTCTGGATATCAATCACCAAGATATCACAGATATAAAAGGGGGCGATGGGAAAGTCTAGTGGTTAAGGCGTTCGCTCGTCACGTCGAAGACCCGGGTTCGATTCCCCACATGGGTACAATGTGTGAAGCCCATTCCTGGTGTCCCCCGCCGTGATATTGCTGGAATATTGCTAAAAGTGGCGTAAAACTAAACTCACTCACTCACTCTCAGATATAAAAGTTTTTTACACAACAGCTAACTGTGTTCATGGAAGGAACGTTTCAAAGTGTGTCCAATACTATTCTACTAGCTATACATCATCCGTGCACTTGGGCCCAGTGGATCTGTACCTGAACTGTTCTGTTATAAATGCATGAAAATTGTTCTATTTCTCGTCTTTGTAAATACTTACTTGAATGGTTCTTAACAATTGGTGTTATTGCTATCTAATAAGGTTAATCAAATGTGTTAATGATCTAGCCCTCAATCAGTTACGGCTTGCTGCACACAGGTGCCACACAGGGAATCAATCGATTGATTTGCCAAGAGCCACAGAGGGCATAAACCGCTGAAACCAGTATAAAATGTGTAGGCGTCCTGGATGTTATCGCTTATCTACACCTGGAGATGCCAGGAAAGACGAGAATGCTTGTCAGCATTCCCCTGTTGGTCGGTCGGTGCTCGTGCTATCAACCACTACCTGTTTTTCTAGACCTGAATATCTACCGGCCTTCGCGATAGAGCTGGAACATCGTGGCTCGACAGGAGATAAACTTTGTGCTTCATTGTGGTATGGACATTTCTGGCTACATAGTGAGGTGAGGTGAAATTGGGTTTTACGTCGTACTTGAGAATATTTCTCTCATATGACGACGTGCATGCGTGTGTATGTGTATGTGCGGCTGCTTGTACTAGCCTAGACCTCAGCTGGTTTTATAGTGCTAGCCCACTGAGATACCATGCCGCAGTGAAGCATGAATACCCCACTCAGACACATTATACTTACTCCGAGCCGACCAGTCCTTGTTGTACCCATTAATGCCGAGCGTCAGGCAGGGACCAACAAGTACCATATTTTAACGTCTTTTGGTATGACTCGGTCGGGGATCGAACCCGCGACCTTCCGCTCTCCGGGCGGACGCTCTAACCACTACACCACGGAGGCGGTCTGGCTACATAGTAATACGTCACTCATCATTTACTTCCTGTTTCTCCGCATAACTTGTATCAGAGGTAATGCGGAAAATATATAAGAACTCTATCCGATGCATTATTGAAAAGTTGCAGTTTCCATGTAAAGGCTCCTATTTTCACTTTATTCCCATCCTTGTTATGCTCGGTATAGCCCAGTTACACACGGATGCGCGTGCTAGCTGATGTGTACAGTATACAGAGGTAACTGACCAGTCCGTACCACAATGATACGGTGTAGGACACTATTCACCCACATGGCGAAACAGGTAAAACAGGTGTGTAGATGATAAGACAATACTTGTTTAGTGTTTACGGTAAAACACAAGCGTCATTATACAACCAAAATAGGTATTTTATGCCACGGATTCCGGCAGTTAAATATTGGTCCCAAGGAACCTATGCTTGTCGTGAAAGGCGTCAAGGTGGAACGGGTGGTTAGACAAGGTGATGTGCTGAATACACCATGGTGACAGGTAAAGGCGATATGTATGAAGTGTGGTTTATTCTGATGGTGATCTTTGTCGGCATGCGTAATCGTAATGAATTCTCCCTCAGGCAATGTTGTCGGGTTGCTGTGTTAAACTAGGTACGCTTTACTGCCCTGGCGTCACGGGGTGTATTTTATTTTCTTACTTGCACAACTGTTCTGAAACACTGGCGTACAGAACTCTCGTTTTACTGGTTAAATACAGCGTTTGTTATAAATGTTACTGTTCAACCTTACACAATACTATATATGATAAATGTAGTCTACTGTATTTCCTGTAATAAGACCTCGATGGCTTTTTAATTTCACTGAGCCGCTTTAATATTTCGTGTCTTACCTCTTGCGTCTCTACAACGAATTGGATCCCCGTGTGCCCAACACTCTTTTTGATGAGGCGACTACATGTGTCGGATGGCCGGTCCCGGTGCTGTGGTTGATTGATCATAATATCCATCTCTTATGTCTTGTGTGTGTTCAAACGCGTTCGTTTACACACTGCCATGATAAAGGTACATGTCTGAAAGTTCACATCCCAAAAGGACGCGCTGTTCCACATTTTGTTCTTTTGAACCTCAATAACTCATTAACTGTTTATGAATGAGTCCTATGTAGTCGGCTCTTATCACTTATGTAGTGTGTGTCTCCATTTTCACCCGAAACCAACGATGATGCAACTGAGACTAAGAACAGAGAACGGGAGACCAACAGTAGCTAGTATCAGGGACCAAAGGTTCATACGATAGGGTCCAGTGACTGTTAGAGCCGGGGACCAAATGTAGCCATAACCAGGGATCGAGAATATCTAGAACCGGAGACAGCTTTTATAAGGCATCAAATCGATGTAATTACCTGGTATTGCAGATGATGCGAGCAGCTCAGTTTGAGAAGGGTGGTCCCGAAAATCTGTACGTTGCAGAGGTAGCCAGGCCTGCTCTCGGTGAGAGACAGGTTCTTATCAAGGTGCATGCCTCCGCCATCAACAGAGCCGATACATTGCAGGTGAGTGACAGTTATGACAGGTATCTGGAATCACTATGTAGCAAATCTTAATATTTTGTGTCTCTGAAATTGTCAAAATCCCATTATAGGGCCCGTAAGTCTCGCGAGGCGCTACTTCCGGTGATATGCATTCAAGAACCAGTTCTGTTGACAGATATGCACGTGGTATTCATGCAACATAGTCCAAGTGTTTTTGTAGCCTGTTGCATGTCACAGTTTTCTAAGTCAGACAGCTTGTGTCGAGTATGATTAGCCAGGACATGCCCCTTGTAACAGTGCTGTCGCCTTTGCCGTAAAACGGAAGTACTAAAGTCTCGCAAAGTGCCGTGACGTACTACCCTTATTCTCGAACCTTAAGGTAATAGATGCAGATGTATAATGAATACCTGTATGCACGCGACTTGACTGAAGTTCAGAGATTCACATTGAAAGACTGGACATTCAGACGAATGGGTTATTTTTACCATACCCATCTTCATCCATAAGCGTTCGCGAGCAATGTTAGAGGAGTTGTATGCCAGATTTGTGGTCATTGGTAGTAACACGTAATGCCCATAGCGGCAAGACGTGACCAGTACCCATGTGAAGCTCTGAACATATCAATCAATCCTTGTTTGGGTACATTCCCAAGGCCATTCAGAAATATACATTTGGAGAAGAAGTAAACTAAATTGATATTTGCTTTCGATATTGTTTCAATTTAAGAATGCTTTTGACATGATTCCTCAGAGAAAGGGTCTGTACCCACCCCCTCCGGGCGAGAGTGACATTTTGGGTCTAGAGGCCGCAGGGGTCGTGGATTCTCTTGGACCAGGATGTTCTGAGAAATGGAAGATCGGCGATAGAGTTATGTCCCTTTTGTCAGGTACGATCCAGCCATTATTTTGTCATAGTGATTCGTTCTATATTATGATCACACATATAACGTTAATAACAGGAAACTGCATTATTATCGTGGAATACTTTCTTAATCAATTATTTCGTCGCAGTTTTGTCTAAAGGTTGTCAGAGCACTCCTTACTAATACAGAGGAAGGTGGTATTGGGTAACCAAGGACCAAGATCGTGACTGTTAAATATACGATATATATGAAACGCCATGCGACTAAATCACTACGAAAACAAACTATAACAATCATCTGTAAACATCCTGTGTTCAGGGGGAGGTAACTCTGAGTACGTGGCCACTCCCGAGCAGCTCCTCATGGCAATACCGGAAGGGATGGACTACATTCAGGCCGCAGCGATCCCTGAGGTTTGGCTGACTGCTTACCAGCTGCTGCACTTTGTGGGTAAGACTCTGATAAGTACATATCTCAGACGACCACTTCTTCTACTTCGTTGGTAATGCGTTCTGATGTAGAATCAAGTGTGTTTGACAACACAACTGTTCCTTCACATTTGCTGATTTGGAAGCACATCTGTCTATGCAAACATGCCGTCTCCAACAGACGAGATTCTGATCAAATTCATGGCCTAAATAATCTATAAAAGATCCCAGACAACCTACTATAAATATAAACCGACAAATTTTGCACCTTCTTGGGATCGTTGCAGTTGCACAATAATAACGCAGTGCTTTTAGGGGAGACCTCTTAATATTGTACCTGGTCAATGCATGACTTCTTATGGCGCTTTCTTCTCCAACAGGCAAGGTCCAGTCGGGGGAGACAGTGTTGATTCACGGGGGAGCCAGTGGAGTGGGAACGGCTGCCGTACAGCTGGTATCCCTGGCTGGTGCCAAGTCCATAGTGACAGCAGGGTCAGAAGCCAAGATCGCGACTGCCGTATCCCTTGGGGCCTCACAGGGGTTCAACTACAAAGAGGGAGACTTCAGTCAGAAAGTTCGAGATGCAACAAACGGTTTGGACTATTAGCTCTACGGTTTTCGTATCGATAATTTAAGTCAATGAATGGGTCATTACATGTAACGTTTTAGAAAACTAGCAGCTCCTTTTGCGCCTGAGACCGGTCCACAGATTCTACCACAGGGGCGCATCTAGGATTCTTTAAGGGATGATCTGTTTAAGTAGGATCTTTACAAAATGGATGGTTCAGAAGGGCATTTCAAATTCTGAATTATTGCCGTTAGTGGGAGGGACGGCAAAGCCGACAGTCAGATGTAATATGTAGTCTTCTCTAAGTAACATAAAGTAACTCGTGATTTCCGGATGGCAATGGCCTTTTATCCCAGTGAGTGAAACATTTAATGAGTGAGTGAGTTTAGTTTTACGTCGCACTCAGCAATATTCCAGCTATATGGCGGTGGTCTGTAAATATTCGAGTCTGGACCAGACAATCCAGGGATCAACAGAATGAGCATCCATCTACGCAATTGTACGATGACATGTGTCAACCAAGTCAGCAAGCCTGATCCCCCGATCCCGTTAGTCGCCTCTTACGACAAGCATGGGTTACTGAAGATCAATTCTAACCCGGATCTTCACGGGACAATAATGTCACTGGTTGCCTATCTCTACATTCGATTGTCACGTGCAGGGAATCTAAACAATAGGTCCCAAGTACCTCACTCTTGTGTGAAGCGGATTTCATGAGGATTTGGTGGTCAAGTGCTTCAGTTTCCGGTTTAACCTGGCCCTTCAGTTTCCGGTTTAACCTGGCCCTTCAGTTATACCTGTTGATAACAGGGGCGTCAGTCAACATTCAATCACTATTTCATTTGTTTTTTCATTTCTAACCATCGACTCAGTGACTCATATCCGTCTGTACAATGCGAAACATAATGAATGGATTACATTTTAGATGGTAGTAGCATTTACATTTTTCATTTTAGCACATGTTCTTCATCCACAGGCAAGGGAGTTGACGTCATCCTTGACTGTGTGGGCGGGTCCTACTACGAACAGAACATGAACGTCATCGCCGTGGATGGACGATGGGTGCTGTATGGGTTGATGGGTAAGGATGGAGGAATGCTGAGTAACCACCAGGGCATGAAGATGGGGAGGCAGCAACATGGTTCAACAACAAATATATAATACAGGGCATGCACATCTGCAGGAGGCAACACTGCATCAGGATCTGAACACATAACAATTCTATCCAGCTCCATGAATGAAGGGAAGTCGTAATGTATTAATGACATCAAATAACGGGCAGATCATCTGAAGATCCGGGTTAGAATTGGTATTCAGCAACCCATGCTTGTCGTCAGTGGCGACTAACGGGATCGGGTGGTCACTGACAGGGTCGCTGACTTGGTTGACACACGTCATCGTATCACAATTGTGTAGATCGATGCTCAATCTGTTGATCAGTGGATTATCTGGTCCATGCTCGATTATTTACAGACCGACACCATATAGCTGGAATATTGCTGAGTGCTGCCTTGAACAACAAACCGACTAACCTACTAACTAACATTGATCCAACATTCCTGCCAGCCATATATCATGAGTAACGTCCCTTTGAACAAATCCGTCCAAATTCGTAACTCAACTGCGGAGAGGGATCGATACTCATGATGTCGATCATTGGATTGTCCGATCCAGACATTACCGAGTGCGGCGTTAAGCAACAAATAAAAACAAAGCTAAAATATAAAAATAATTAAACCACAACTTATGAGCTTTTTAAAGTTTATATATTATCTTGTTGCATTTGTAGTCCCTTCAAAATTAAAAACCTAAGAATACAGTCTCTATCAATATGCTCAATTGGTCCAGGGATATTTTGGTAAAAAGAACAGGACAGATGCTAAGTGACAGAAACGGTTGTTAAAACTCCCACGCATATGTTGCAGTAATTATAGAATGCATTTTCTGTTGTCAGGGGGAGGCAATATCAGCGGGGACGTGTTCGCAAAACTGCTGCGTAAGCGAGTGTCTGTTACAGGGACAACCCTCCGTGCTCGATCTCTTGAGGTAGGAAATCTAATACAGGCAACACAAAAGTCATCTTCTATGACAGTCCTCTACACGACAGTCAAACACTATAGTCATCTCCTATGACAGTCCTCTACACGACCTTCAAAAGCTATAGTCATCTTCTATGACAGTCCTCAACACTGACAGTCAAACACTATAGTCATCTTCAATGACAGTCAAACACTATAGTCATGTTGTATGACAGTCCTCTACACTGACAGTCAAAAGCTATAGTCATCTTCAATGACAGTCAAACACTATAGTCATGTTGTATGACGATGTTGTATGACAGTCCTCTACACTGACAGTCAAACACTATAGTCATGTTGTATGACGATGTTGTATGACAATCCTCTACACTGACAGTCAAACACTGTAGTCATCTTCAATGACGGTCCTCTACACTGACAGTCAGACACCGCCAGCGGTCTTCACTGACAGTCCTCTCTGTTGACAGTCAAACACGGACGAGTCGTATTCACTGAAAGTCCTCTCTGTTGACAGTCAAACACGGACGAGTCGTATTCACTGACAGTCCTCTCTACTGACAGTAATCTCCTCGGACAGTCAAACACTGACAATCCTATCTGACTGTTACCGCCAACCTTGCTACTGTCGTATCATTAACAATCTATCTTATTTGCAAATTATTAAAAGTGACCTAAGCAAATATGTTGCTTTTTAATATGTCCCACTTAGCTGATATTGTGTCATTTCAGGGTTGCTTTCAAAACCTGTCCTCTCTGTGGGGATTTTGATGACTTGCTATGCTAGTTAGAATCGGCCAGAATGGATAATCCATGGATCATCAGATCCTGTTTGCGTGAACCGTTGTTAATGCTTACTGTAACTGGTCTGTTTGGCCCAGACCCGTTTCATTTACTTGTATTTCTTGGGTTGTTTTTCAGTACAAGACCAAGCTCGTTGGAAGCTTCATGCAAGACGTGCTTCATCATTTCATCTCAGGCAAGGTGAAGCCGATTGTATTCACAACATTCCCACTGGAGAAGATCGGAGATGCCCACAAAATGATGGAGGAAAATAAGAATACAGGGAAAATAGTCATAGAGGTTAATCAAGATCGGGATAAGAAAGATGAACTGTGATTAGTCCGATATATGTAACGATTATTGTTTGCCACTGTATTTACATGTTCAGAAAATAATTAGCATTGATGTAGGAAATTAGAAAATATATTTGTAAACAATATCGCCATGATATGATTGATAGAATATATTCAAGAGGATTTGTATACATTTTACATTGTGCATGTATATATAGATACATGAATATATTATATTTGATATCTTGAATAAACATGATACAAGACTAATGCTATTTCATTCAGCATTTCATGCCGGCCTGTGACTGATACATCTGGACCAGGTAATCCAGTGCTTGATATTATCAACTTCCACTCCCGATCCATTAGGTGGCATCAGTCATCACTATAGGCTGGTATTGACTCATCTTAGTCCTGTTTTCTGGAGGGATAGTGGCGGTGGGGTAGCCTTGTGGTGAAAGCCTTGCTCGTCACGCTGGACACCGGGTTCCATTCCCCACATAGGTACAATATGTGAAGCCAATTGATGGTGTTCCTCGCCGTGGTATTGCTGGAATATTGCTAAAAGTGGCGTTAAACCATACTCTATTATTCAGGAATGAATCAATATTTCAAACCAAGGACAGTTGTGCCGATGATAAACTACTCGTCTACAATATACGTACATGTTTAGTACAAGCAGCGGTGTTTCTATCAGTGGGGCACTATTTGTACAAGAACAGGGATCCACCTATTATCAGCATGGAATTATATGTCATCCATTATGTTGGAATCGGCCTTCTGAATTTACAAAATGATAAATCAAGTCCTAAGTTTGGACAAACGACGGTTTTTTTAAATGTGTGTGTCAGGACACTTTGTTTAGAATGCTGAATAAAACTCATAAAAGAAAATATACCGAAGGCATGGTTAAACACTTATCAATATGATTTATTTTTTGCCTCATGCATATTGTGCTTGTATGTTTACCAACACATTCAGAAAGAAGCATTTCTCTGTACAAACAAACTTGAAAAGTGTCATCACATTGCTGATACTACCTTCAGGGGCGGTGGAGTAGCCTAGTGGTTAAAGCGTTCGCTCGTCACGCCGAAGACCGGGGTTCGATTCCTTACATTGGTACACTGTGTGAAGCCCATTTCTGGTGTCCCCGCCGTGAAATTGTTGAAATATTTCTAAAAGCGGCATAAAACCATACTCACTCACTCATTTTACTTCCTTCATGTGAATTCATTGGCTTTCCTTTTGCTTCATTAAATTGATAACGGTGTTACAAACTGTACCAAACGATGGACCAGTCAATCCTCCAGTTTTGACCATTGTGTCAGTAACCTAGCGTGATTCCGGGTAGGGTTAAGATCTACAACAATCCATGCTGGTGGTAGGAGGAGACTGAATGGATGGAGTCAGTGGCTCAGTGACTTGTTTCACTGCGTGTCATTGTAACCCGATGGCGTGGGTCGCTGCTCACAGTATCGACCACTGGATTGTCTGGTCAAGACTCAAATACTTTCAGGCCAATATCATATAGCTAGAATATACCTGGGTGTGTTACAACAAACAAGCACGCATGCACGATCATTATGTTAATTCCAGAGATCCCGTTTTCAGCCTGAAAATATATGCATAAAATCTACACTTTCACTATTTTATCAACGGAAGAAATAAAACTGATTCAAAGAAGACATTTCTCCGAACATCAGATCACCACGATGATAGTTAAACTTCACATGTACAAAGCACAAAAAACATGACTAGGATCCCTGTCTGCGATAAGGAATACATTTGTGAAAATGTTCACTGGGGTAATTTAGGTACGTTGGAAAACCAGACTTCGTCTGGGGCATTGTGGTCTTGGTGCATAGCTAAATATTATTAAAGATATTTCTGCAAATTGCACAGTGTGTAATCAGCTAGATAACGTGGCTCATTATTTACTGCATTGCCAAAAATATGTAAAACAACGTAAGGCGATGGTGGAATCTCTTACATCTATCAATATTGACATCTCATTGAATGGACTGTTGTGCTCAAGGAATATCACTCGCAATGATATCCAGAATGTCATTCTTGATTATATACATTAAAGCATGTGGCAGCACTACTACTAGGGCTGCGCAATATAACCGGTTTACCGGTATTTACCGGTTCAGACATGAAAACGATACGTATTGCAATACGCTGATCGAAAACCGGTATTTTGACTTGCATTCAGAAAACTTCGTAACACTCGGAAATCTTCGGATATTTCCTTGTTTCATTTGTGCCAATTATTATTCACATTTTTATTTTTAATCATGAATACAAGTTGTCATAAAAGCTTAATCAAGCACAGTGATTTTGCTCTGTATTTGCTCTATAAATCAAGCATTACTTACTACTACTATTTCTGTTAAATATTTACCCGTGAAGATCCGGGTTAGAATTAGTCTTCAGTAATCCATGCTTGTCGTAAGAGGCGACTTATAGGATCGCGGTCAGGCTCGCTGTCTTAGTTGACAGATGTCATCGTTTCCCACTCAATGCTCATGCTGTTGATCAGTGGATTTTCTGGTCCAGACTTGATTATTTACAGACCGCCGCCATATAGCTGGAATATTGCTGAGTGCGGCGTAAAACTTAACTCACTCACTCACTATTTTTTATTCTTTACATCCTCGGGGTTAACGATATCCAGTCTATCAGATGTTGTGAAACTCATAAATGGAATCTAAGGAGAAGGTGTAATGGGTGATAGAGTACTTCACTCGAATCATGGCTTTACCCAGTCAGGGGTTCTAATTCACTACATCCTGAGAAAGACACAACCTTAACAAGAAAATGTCAAAGAGAGAAGAAATGCCGACTGTCAGACAATAACCTGGGACTCGGCTTGGGGGAAGTAACTGGTGCAGTACACGTCTGATCCCGCTTCGTTGTAAATAAAGAAACACTCCCTGGGAAACAGAAAAACCTTTTGATCAGCTGCCAAATTGTTTGAGTTGTTGATAAATGCCGAGTTAGAGAACTACGCGGACGATTCAACAACACATGCCGTGTATTTCGTCAGTGGATAATTTGCTTGTTTGAGATCTCAGCACACAGTGAAAAAGCTAACAGCTTTGTACATTGCATGGTGGTGCAATTTGTGTTGGATCCATTTGACGAAGTACAAGTTGAAGGGATACAGACTCCGTCGCTAAACACAAAAAACATTATTTAGGTTCCACATCTTGGGCTACTCCACAGCTTGAGGTCGTGATGTGTCGTCTTAGATGTGTCTTCAGCATCCCATGCTTATCGTAAGAGGCGAAAAATGGGATCGGTTGGTCAGGCTTCCTGACTTGGTTGACAAATGTCATCGTATCCCAATCGTATTTCATGCTGTTGATCACTGGATTGTCTGGTCCAGATTCGATTATTTACAGACCGCCGCCATATCGCTTGAATATTGCTGAGTGCGGCGTTAAACAACAAGCAAACATGTACATTCTCTGAACATAAATCACGATATTTAGGTAACATGGGTAGACCACTTTTATGAAAGTAAATGAGTGAGTTTAGTTTTACGCCGCTTTTAGAAATATTCCAGCAATAACACGGCGGGGGATACCAGAAATGGGCTTCACACATTGTACCCATATGGAGAATCGAACCCGGGTCTTCGGCGTGACGAAAGAACGCTTTAACCACCAGACCACCCCACCGCCCCTTTTCTGAAAGGGTGTGGTGCAGTTCATAAAATTCTACGTGTGTGTAATGTAAATTTTAAAACAAAAAAAAATGTATCAGATAATCAAGACGCCATCAGCTGCTGTATTACGAATACGTGTTACTCAACGTTACATCAAATCCTATAGTCTTAAACAAAGAGATACTCGGAAATAGCTTAATGTTTCCAAACTTGTAAGAGATATTAGTTTCTGTTATAAGTTGTTTAGGGAAAACATTAGGTATGGCAGCAAAAGTTATAACCGCTTACGATCTTAACGAACGATAGGGCTGAGGTGGGAAGCTTCCTCCTTGAGGGTTTTGAGATCAGAAAAGATCAGTGAAGCACCCTGAAAGGCTTCCACTTGGCGGGACTGGTGTGTTTTCAGAACACACTGCGTTTCTTAACTAGGGGCGGTGGGGTAGCATAGTGGTTAAAGCGTTCGCTCGTCACGCCGAAGACCCGGATTCGAGTCCCCACATGGCATGGGTACAATGTGTGAAGCCCATTTCTGGTGTCCCCAGCCGTGATATTGCTGGAATATTGCTAAAAGCGGTGTAAAACCATATTCACTCGTAACACTCAACAAACTAAGAGAAAGGTTCGGTCACGTGATATGCAAATTTTCTTGTGGCAGGGGTGTCATGCTATGATAGTGTGTGATAGTGTTTGCAAGCGCCTTGTGATATTTGTTCATGTGCGAATGCAGACAGAAAGTGATCGTAAATTAATGCCACGCTTGTCTAAAAACTTAGGCTTCTTTTGATACTATACCAGTAAGCGTGTTGGCATGGAAACTAGCTACCGAGTCGTGCTAATTTGTAGAACAGTAATAGCAGTTGTAATCGGACTTGGATGGGAAACACAATGCATCCCTTGTGTGTATTCACACGGTGTAGACCTGTAGCTTCAAACTTGACACGTGCTGAAGATACGTAAACACTTGAGTGAGAGTAACGCATAACATCCCATGGATGAGGGAGGGAGAAAAACGGAGGCATATCATGTTCTCTGTGTAGTACGTTTTACACGAGTCAGCTGTAGACTTGCCAGATTGTTTCTTCTCAGGATAGCGGTAGCGAATGAGTCTTACCGTAGTTGTCATTAATAACATAATATCAAGATGAGTTGATGTATCGGGGGAAAGGATGTGTTGGCAGTAAATAAGGAATTCGTTTAATTCATTAATTAGGTTCATATTAACCAGCCCACGGGAATGAATACGATTTCGGTTCCGTCAACAATTTCCAAAATGTTATAAATATATCGACAGCGGACACCTATGATTGGTCAGGAAGTCTTTGAAGAGTAACCTGTTAACACATGTTGTGTTACGCCGCAGGTGATACCATTTTAAAACCTACTACAACAACCTGTTATAAGGAACATACGCAAGGGTTCACTCCCTCAGGTTTTCGTAACACAACACA